AGTGATTCAAACGTGGTTCCCTCTGATTCACCATTTCCGAATTGATAACGTAAACGTGCTTTCAAACATTTAGCTCCTAAACGCCACAAAACGGCTCCGTTGTCATACCCACAGGGGTCAAGTTTGGTCAAGTTAGACCTGGGCCTACAGACTCACGTCATCTCTAGTAGTTCATTTCTAGCATGTCATCAAACGTGGCAATGGGAAATCCCAACTTTTTATGGGAAACCCTTCTCAAGTTGATGCTCGCCCTTCAGTAATTTAACGTAGCTATGCACAATGGCCTATCTCTAGATGATTTACTTGTTAAACATATTGATTTTCCCGTTTTGTTCTGTTAAATTACCAGAGGGTATGTGGGATTCTCTATTCTATTGACGGCATCGTCCTTGCATCTGGGCATCCCTTAGGCAGACTTCTAACCCTGATGTGCGACGGCCACTTGCCAGCATTGTGTTGATCTTTACTGGTTGGTTGATGATCAAAGGGTGGTGAAACTTCCGAAGCAGTATATATAGTATATATATATATTATATAATGGAACAACAGAGGGTTTTGGAGTGTTGACCTGGTGGTTTCCAATAATTTTCTCCTTTCCAGACATTGCAAATGAGAGGATCCCCTTCGACCACCAAATCCTGCTTGCCGCCCATTCTCACGGGATATCAGACCTCTTCCATGGTGGGATGCCATCGGAACCTTCTGGCCGTCTCCAACTTTTTTCTCTACCATCTTTTTCCTTTCAAAATTGATTGGAAGTGAACAGAAGGTTGACAAGGCCAACCTGGCTTCCATGGCGATCTTTTCCTTCTTAAATTTTTCACAGCCTCCGCCAGGTTTGTGATGCGGAACTTCAAGCCGCCCCGGGAGGGCGAGGCGGACTACTCCGCGTGGCCCGGTTGATGTCCCAAGATTTCCCAACCGTGGGGCCCGGGGGGGGATAGGCTGAAAAGGTGGTGATACTTAGTCTCCAACCAGCAACTTTTGGCGCTATTTTGCAGGGCACCCGGTATGCCATTTTGAGCAGAATCAACAGCCAAGAGTGAGTGGTGATGACCAACGAATCTCGGAGATTTAGAGATTTGGGCGATGTCCAATACATTGAGAACCCCAAATCCAGTGTGGTTCGCCACAGAAAACGCTTCATTTTGGAGCACCTTTTGAACCAGACATGTGGCTGAGGCTATTGATCACATATTGCAAACGCTGTCGCAGCAACATGCAGCAGGGTGTGCAGGGCATGCAGGGCCTACAGCCCATGCAGCAGATGGGCCCTGGCTGGGGGAAGGGTCCCATGACTCCCATGGCGCCCGGATCGCAGTGTCTTGGTGGAGCGAGGTTGTTGGATGACATGAAAATTGGTTGGTCAAGGTCGTCGGCCCCCGAAATGGCTGGTTTGATACTGAACATGATGGGATTTTTGGGGCTGGTCGACTGGTCCTCAAATTTCGAGCCATACCCATCATACCCCAATCTCCCCAATGGCAGGTGGGAACATGTTGAGCCTCTGGTTGGCAGCTGATGGGGTAAGAAGCGTTGAAGTCAATGATTCTTCAGTAGTGTTGAGAAACCCAATCATAGACCATCCCCAATTTTACGGTGGTATAAACTTTATAAACCATCAACATATTATGGGTGCTTTATGACATTGCTAACATTACTCGTTTGGTTTACGGTTGGGAAGAACGTACTGAAGACACAGGCCGCGCCTAGGAAGCTCCCTCTAACTTGGGATGTATGCGTTGGATCCGGGGCCTACGTATGTCGCCACCTAAGGAACTGGGGTGCTTGGGGCAAAGGCAATTGGGAGTCGCTTGGTAGCCGACATTCTCTGGACCTTTTCACGGAGATGACATGGGTCAAACTCCTCTTGAGAATCAGACGGGCATGGTTTAGCACCAAAATAACTCCCGGTGACAATAGGATACCTGTCATGGCTGGTCAATACGTCCAGGTATTGATCCATAGCCTGAAAAAACTGCAGGGGTCCCATCCCATGGTCTTGGTCTTGTCCCTTTGGATCAACCAAGAACCGCTAGTCCAGGTGCTTCAGTGATGAGACTGACATTTTCAGGACACTTCTTCTTTTTTCTTGGGGGAAAATAGGTTCTTCTCATGGTTATCACAGTGGTTCCTGAATGGCATCAACTATAGTTTGTCCGACTGTGCCCCAAGGACGGGCCAATTCTGGTCGATAGCCTATGTTGATCTGTTTTTTGCAGCATGTCAGGGTTTCAGGCTGTTTGCCGCATCCATATTTGTCGGACAAGATCGATCACCCCGACCTGAGGGGCGGCAAAGGGATGGAGTCCATGAGCCAATGGGACGGAGGTTGGGAAGCCAAGTCGGCTGGTGCCGGATGTTTTGCTTTCGCTGATAGGTAAACATCCAATGGAGACATGGGATGATATTTTGGGTCAGCAAACGTCCTTGAGAGTTTGAAGATTTTGGGTCAGCGCCACTGGTTTGCTGGTGGCTGGTTGGTGGCTATGGATTGATATAATGCCCTAGTTTTAGTGCCTGTATCATAAGAGGGTGGGATTCCAAACCACGCGGCTAAACTACTAGGTAAACGTTGGTTGCCAGAATGGCCAGAATCTTTGGGTCCAGGGATGAGCAGATAAAGTGACCAAACCAGACATGATACTGCTAAAAAATTATCAACCCCACAAATTCAATGGTCTGGTTTTAGTAAGTACTCAACATTTCTCAAAATGATGAATAATTGCGTGGGCCAAGAATGGTACCCCATGTTGGTTCGCCAGTTCGCCAACTGATCGCAGATTTCTAAGGCTCTTTTGGTGGAGGATGCGGCGGCTCTCCAAGTTGCGGAGGCTGTGGCTGCGGTGGCTGCGGTGGCTGCGGTGGCTGCGGTGGTTGCGGCTGCGGTGGCTGCGGCTATGGCTGCAGTGGTTGCGGCTGTGGCGGCTGCGGGGGCTGTGGGGGCTGCGGGGGCTGCGGGGGCTGTGGATCCGGCTGTGGCGGCTATGGCTGCGGCGGTGGTGGTGCCTTCAATGGTGCAGGTCAAGGAGGGTTGCTTGGCTGCAAGCACTGGATGGTGGAATCACGGCGTCCGGGTTTTTCCACAAGCATCAGGGTCAAGGTCTGCGCGTGTGAATTTGATTGAGATGATTGAGATGGTTTCCTTAACCCAGTTTTGCAGTTCAGTGTTGGAGGCTGGATTCTATTCACTAGCCCCTGGCCAAAAATCGCGCCAGCACAATGGCGCCTGCTTAGATTTCAGCAAAACACAAACTCTTCACTTGAGAAAAGACACGGTAGTTAGTATTATTATGTTCACATGCTTATTCTTGCGGGATGCGAACTTGAGCAGGCGGTTGGCTGGATTTTGAACCCTGCAACTTATGTTGGTGTTAAAGAAAGGTAAGCTGAAGTAAGGAACCCGAATTTATGCAATTTTTGAATCTAACAGAAAGATAATGTGGTGGTTTTTAATTTTCCAATTTCGACTTTTCCATCATTTTTGTTGGGGTTCCATGGTTTTCAGGGTTCGTTTCAGGATCGACCAGAGCGCGTTGTGGTCCTTCCGCCAGCGCTATCCCATGGACGACATGGCGTTCCAGCCCCTTTGAGTCAGCCATGCACTTTGGGGGGTGATAGTTTTGACCCATCACTGTTGGCTCCCAAAACAGCTTACTACTTGCTATGTAGGGAATCTTCATTCATAATGAAAGCCAATGATAGAGGCCACTCCGTGTGCAACATGGTCATGTGGCTTGAAGGTGGTAGACTCAGCATTTGGCATCTAGCACAATCATCGGAAGTACAGGACAATTCAGGTGGGGCTGTGGGTCACAAGTATTATCCACCTGACATCAACCAAGTTTTCTTATCTTCTAGAATTGGATCATTGGATCAGGGGGAAATCTACGGGAAAGCCTCATCGAGTGGCGCCATGAGCCATGGTTTTCTTGTTGAACTTTCCCTTGAATCAACACATATTTCCTGATGCTTGGGCCCTTGGGATTTCCACCGTGTTGACAGTTGTGATTCAGCTGGGACTGTGAACAAGGTTCCTGTGCAATGCGCCAGCACATGCGCAGCAAATGGTCCTGGAATCCTTTGCGCCAAACCGGCAGGATTCGGATTACTCTGCGCTTGCCACTCGCCATCTTATAATTTATGATATTCTTATTTTCTAAAATCCTTCTTATTATTGCTATTTTGTTCATTGTTTTATTGTAGGTTGTTCCAAGTTATAATGGTTTGTCATAGTTTATGATTGTTCCCTAGCCTTCCGGTTAGCCTGCCGGTCGCCATGGTGATTTGACTGATTTTGGAGGTACCGGTTCCGACAACTGGAACATGAGAGGTTTTATGATGGGTGAAATGATTGAACCATATTGAAACACAACGGAGTGTCAGCCATCAAAAACTAACTAGAGCACGCTTTCAAGAATCTGCTGGTCTGAGAGTTGAGACCTTTCTCCAGCATTCAAGTGCTTTTCCCCCCAAAGTTCTGCTTGGCATTGTATCACTTGAAACCAAAAGTTGTTTGAACGCCAGGGTATTTTTTCCCCCCAGTTTTCCCACTGCCTGACTGTCAAGTGTTGCACCCAGCACTACTGAGGTCATCAACTACACAAAGCGCTGTGGTCAGGGACAACTGGCAGCACCGGCCAAACGGCCACGCACCTTCTGAACGATTGATACTTTGTCCGTGAAAATCGGTGGCATGTGAAACTTGCACCGCGGAGAGACCGCGCGGTCTATGAACGTCAAAAGAAGCCAGCTGTTGATGCATGGGTCCCAGAAGGGATAGAACACGATATCGGTTGCTTGTACTATTAGTACTGATTGGTGGTTTGGAACATTTTTTATTTTTCCATATATTGGGAATGTCATCATCCCAACTGACTTTCATATTTTTCAGAGGGGTAGGTCAACCACCAACCAGAGTATTATTTAAAGATTGCGGATGATTATTGGTGCAACTTCTTCGCCCAATGCGGGTAAAACAATGTCATAAACCACCCATGGCTGGGAATGGTTTATACAAGCTATTTATGGTGATTGGGGGATGGTTCATTGTTGCTTTACCCACATTGCTTGGGATCACTATGAACCCCAACCGACAATGAATGCCACAGCATCCAATCTTTTGACAGAGCCCCCAGATCCTCCAGTTCCTGGCTGGATGGCTGGATGACCAGGAGGTCTATCCGTGTGTTTCTTCGTAAAGTATTCCCAACTTTGTTGGCTCCAGGGATGTCCCTATCCCCGCGAATTTCACTGTTGGAGTTGTCATTGTCATCGATCGTTGAACTACGTAAATGAATTGTAAAGGATTGGATTCATGGTATACCCAACCGGCCCCCGGTACCCAACTGGGTAATTTACCACATGGCCAGTGGGAAAGTGCCCCAGAAGTAGGCATTTCAATAGGCAAATCATCCATAAATGGAGGATGTCCCATGTCTGATGACGCCTTTGGGTGATCCGCATGGGGGGCACCCCTTCAGCTGTCAGGTTGCGGCGCCGCTTGCGACCCATCTCCCTTCAACTGCATCAGATCAGCAGTGGGGGCACCTGATGGGTGGAACTCATACCATTGGGGAGTTGTGAAACCATGACTATCCTCTGGTAAACGAACATTGCTATGGAAAATCACCAATTTTAATAGGTAAATCAACTATTTCTATGACCATTTTTAATAGCAAACCGTTAAATTGCCTGCTAGGGGACCAGTGGGTTAGTCAAGCTGCAGACGCCCAGGCTGGCTGCGGGGTTCCATGCCAGAGGCAGGGGACAGTTGCGAGTTGGCACGTGGCTTGTGGCGAATTTGCCGAAGTCCAGGTGACATATACATAATGTTATACATTCTTGATACATAATATGTTACAATGTGTTACAATTTCTCTCTAGATATGTATAATATATATATATATTGAAACTGGTCGCAGGCCCAAACACCAAGCGGCATTCCAATGCCGTCTCAATCGGGCGCCTTTTTCCTTCGAGGCAAAAGAGTCCCTGCGAGAAAGGAATGTTCGGATGGCGCATGCAAGAGCTCACGTGGATCTACTCAAATCAACACTGGTTATATTTCTCTTTTCAAGAATCACAAAATTTCTCCAGGTTGAAACATTGAAAGCACGTATTCCCAACGGCTTCATCTTTATGCTGATCTTTGCACAAAACTGATCTCTCAGGCAGGAGAAAATGAGATGTAATCTCATGAGAGGAAATCATCTATTGCTTCAGACGGCGCGGCTGGGTGGTTCCAGGAATCTGGTGTCCGGTGCCTTCATCGGAGGCAAACATGTGCTGCATGTAGTTGCATAGGTCTTTCAACTGACCCTGGGCGCACTTGGTGCGGGAACGGCACCACTTCACATAGCTTGCCATGCGGGAATCTTCGGACATCACCAGCTCTTCATAGCTCATGTTCAAGTCTTTGTAGTGGCCAAAACCAATCACTGTGCGACCCCATGTGGGCACATCAGGAACATCATCAGGCAAAGGAGGAAGACAAAGCTTGATCAAGCCAGCTTCATCTGATGCTCCGGGAAAGGGCATGGCCACCTCAGTCGAAGGAGCGGCGTACATCGGAACCATCAAGCTCGGCATCATTGCCTGAGATTTGGCTTTCGGCACAGCTGACTTCTTGGGAGGCCGTTGGCCGGCAATCATCTCCTCTCGGCGCTTGGATCCGTCGGTCATGGCTCCAGGTGCCGAAGACTCATCTTCACTCCATACACTGTGAACCTCACCAGTTTCAGGGTGCATGAAAAGACCAGTAGTGGGATCATACACTGTGAACTCCTCCTCCACCTCCGGCGGAGGGCTGGGCATGGACTTCGCTTTCGCCATCAAACGCTGGAGCTCCAAAGTCTCTTCTTGTGTGAGAGGCATTGCGATCACACTCAAGGAAACTAAACTGAAAGGCAAAACAAGATCACTGAGATCTTTATGGATTTGGGAAAAGGGTTGCTGCCGGCAGCACAAGGTCATACAACTACAAACACCATAAACATGAAAAATCGGCTCAGCTGTTTTGATGAAAATAAGATGACATACGCAGCCTGTGGAGATGGATCGCTGACACTATCAAGATGGGATGGTTCACACTAGCATCACAACATGGACTACAAGTGTGGCGGCACGCAAACGCAACAAAGGCAAGCACTCTGAAGATTTTAACCATACGACACTCACTAGGTTAGGAGTGCCATGCTTCAGATTATGTTAGCCTATGTTAAAGAAACTGAATTAAGGCCATTTAAGCATATTGCTTATTCCATGAGAAGTCAGTTCCCCCCAGACGCCTCGGCCTTGCTTTGGACATTTTGCGCTCGGATCTTGGCACGGCGTTCTCGTTCGGACGCCTGCTGTGCAAGCACGTGATCCTCCGAGGATATTTGATAGGAGGCAGCACGTACACAAGACCTTAAAAGGTCAGCCGGGTCCACCTTGTCTTTGGTCAATCCATCTGCTATCATTCTATTGGTTGGCAACCATCGTACTCGAGCTGCAAGTAACTTGATGGATTCCCGAATGATAACTATGTCGATACTGGTTCTACGATCATCTACTGCAGTGGGTGATGATGGAGAGATCAAATGGTCAAAAAGAGATTTGCAGTCGGTGGCCAAAATGGCTGGACGCCGGGACAGCAGCTGGCGACATTCACTTGATGCAAAACTACCGTCTAGTGCTTCGATTAAAAGTAGATTCAACCACTCGACGGTTCCAGAGGCAGACGCAAGTGCCTGGCTCTCACCACTCAAAGTAGAGCTCACGGCTCGAGGCAGCCGATAAGACTTCCATGACGCAGGTGTCCATGGGGACACGTGACCATCATGCATAGACTTGTCTACAAACGCCAGAACAAAACCTGCCTGTGTATGAGTCCCTACATTGGCAAAAGCGGCATCAGAGTGACAACAGACACATATTCGTTCAGGTGGAATGGGCTTAAAGGTTATAACCAAGTCTTTGTGCATTTTGGCTCTTCTGATGGCATTATTGGCATCACGCAAATGGCGAATCTTTGGCTTTGGAAATGCTTGTTGACTTAGACTAGTCTGCACCGCCAGGTCAGGTCGTGACTGAGAAGCCAGCCAATTCAAGGATCCATTGATCGCGCGGAGAACTCTGATCTGAGCTTCTGACAGGTCATCGTCAGGCAACGCATGACGAGGAATGGCTGCTGGCCGGAGTTTGTCAACAAACAACTTCTGTGACATTGCAATTTCTTTTGTCTCCTTGTTCTGTGTGTAGTACGCACCACAGAATTCTCCCTCGGCCTTTCGCCACTTTCTGTATGGAAACCTGGAGCGCAGCTCAGCTACTGCACGTTCAAACTTTGGACCGCTTCCACCAAGGGCTGTGTCATCAACATGAACCCCCATGATTCCAACCAACTTAGAACCATCTCGAAGAAAATAAAGACAACTGTCAAACTTTGAGCGTTCCCAACCAATACGCAAGGATTCATCGTCAAACGTTCGATGCCAAGCCAAAGGTGCATCGTTCTGACCATAAACATTGCCTGTGACTTCCAAAACGGCGTCACTTGGCACGCCGGGAATTCCTCCAGCAGGCTGCTTGGCAAACAAAGGACGAAACTTATCAGGGAGAGGACCAGCTTCAAGAAAAGCCCCTTTTATATCTCCAAGTTGTAAGACCCATCCAAACGAAGAAATGATCTGCATCACCAACATCCTACCCATCTGGCTAAGAGTGGGGGACTGTAGCAGTCCATCTTGAACCTTCTTATCTAGATCGGGATCCGAATGTCCTTGAAGACACCAGCGGCTCTTGACCCTGAAAGTGGAACTGTCCTCATCATTGATTGGTTGGTTTTCTTCCATAGGTTTCTTAGTGATGACAAAACGGCTACCTATAAAGCGATCGGCATATCGCTCACGGATTTGAGCAGCACGCTTTCCATAGTGGATCTTGACAGCTTGTTTGTCTATGATAGTGCTCCATTCCAAAACCTTAGAGTCATCTACCATGGCTTGTACTTCAGGGGGATGATTACATGGACTCATTTCTTTGCTTGACTTCTTCTGCAAGTAGTTGGTCAACAGCACTTCAATTGAAGTCTTAGGATCTTCCCACTGATTGCACAGCTCGGTGATGTCCTCAACAGACAAAACTTCATGAGGAGAGGCTGTTCGTTGTTTCGAGCCTGGTGGCTCATCGATATTCGCAGCGATCTCCAAAGAACGTTTGGATGATCCGGCAGACTGGCTCAACGGATTGGTGGCGTGGTCAATCAGCTGAGGAACAATTTCTTTCATCATGTCTACAAAATCTTGTTCCTTCATAGCTGGTGGTCGATACAGAGCAGGAGGACCATTCTTACCGTGAACCCTACGCATTGGACCATACGTTGAGGAAGACTCAGACTCAGGTGACATCTGTTGATCTGGAGGCTCACTTGACGAGGACACGTTCTGAACTGCTGGCTGAGGCGGATCAACATCATGCACATGTGAGGGAGCATCCATGGGAGATTTATCAATTGGTGGTTCGGCATCAGCACTTTCCTCAACTGACTGACTGGACCCATCAACGGCCTCTGACTGCTGCGGATGACTCTGATCATCAGGGCCAGGTGACATCGGTGGATAATGTCCAGGCACTAAGTCAATGTACTGATGACTTCGGAAAGTGCCTCCTTCCAACATGTCCTTCACTCCCAAAAGTTCAGTTTGTGGGGTCTCGACAATGGCCTTTTCTTCAGTTGTAGCAGGACGCAATTGTTCAGGAGCCACTCTGAAAATCTGCCGACGATGAGCAATGACATAGTTTTTGCCAACACTTCCAATTACAACAGCTGTTCCATGCCAACGACCTCCGATATGAACCTGGCCTTGCTGATATTTCTGTACACGCCAATAGGCAACCAGATCACCAGCTACGAATTGCTGCTGTAAGCGGGGTCTTGCGGAAAAGGCTAGACGCAAAGCTCTGTCATCTTGAGTCTCGATGACCGCTTTTCTGGCAGCTGCACGAATTGCTTGAGACTTGGCGATGGCCTCTTCAGTGAGACCAAGAGTGGCTGGCACAACATGCAGTGGTTCGCTCATCAGGTCTGTGGGAACATCGGGATTACGACCGAAAACATATTGATGGGGGGTGTAACCATAGGATTGGATCATGGTATTCTTCACATGTGAGTGCAAAACACAATCTTCCCAGGATTCTTTGGTAGCTGGAGAAAACTCTGCTAACGTGCGATCCAAAATCCTACCAAACCATCCCCCGTGACTTTCGGTACGGCCTAGTTGCCAATGCGCTTCCCCGGCTATCTGGTGAACATGGCTGCCAAGAGATTCCAAATATCCCTGGAGACCTTCTCCCAAATTAGTTTGAGCTTGATCAAGAATCACTTCTTTTGGGGGACCAAACACTCTGACCCAATGTTCAGCAACATTACGGCGGATGATCTCTGAGGTCTCACGTTCGAAGAAAGGAATCATGAGTTGGTAACAACTCGCTTGGTCTACAATATTCACTGCCTTTATCTTTTGATTAGGCTTCCACCCAGTGAGATACTTCACATCCACTCCAATGGTTTGATTGAACTCACGAGGCCGGGAAGACTTTGCTGGCAATGGCACATGAGGCTTGACCTGGGTTTGACAAAAGCTGCACTTGTGCTGATGCGCCAGTTTCACGGCACGCTCTGACGCCTGAGCATGTTTCAAGATGCGAACCATGTCATGAACTGGAGGGTGCCCCAAATTTCTATGTACACGATCGATCACTTTCAACAACTCGGCATCAGATTTCTCAGCAGAGAGGTCAGGCTTAGCAGCAAGAACTTCGTCGTGCTGTTTGGATGTCCATTGAGGGCACTCAGCCAGGCATGCACGTTTCATGGCAACAAAACGAGGCACTGTTTCCATGATTGCTTCTACAAACTGAGGAGTATACTTTCCAGCAAAAGTGCTAACACGTCCTACCATGGGATCACTTCCGGCAATGACCTGGTGACAAGCATGTTTCGGGTGACTGGAACCTGGACACTCTTTGGCTAGGCAACTCATGTCATGATGGGATACTAGCAAGTGAGTGGCTTTACGGATCAGATTGGGGCTACCCGGCACACGCAAACCATATCTGCACATGTGACATGTCAGCAACTTGTGCTCTTCAAGCAACTCATTGACCTCGGGATAGGTCCATAGACGGGATCCCTTGGGATGCTCGAGGATTGCTCTTCCACCGAGCTGCATCTGCTGTTTGTACAGCCTACAACAAAAACGGATGAACATGCGACTATGACGAACTCTCTTGGCATACTCTAGGGGATCCATAGTGCACGCATTCAAGTTGAACCATCCGCCCTCATCAGTGCATGGTGGGCAAAGCAGCAGGAGCTCAGGTGGGTGATCATGCAAGTACTGAGCCACCCGTTCACGCATCTCAGGTTTGGTGAAGTCAAATCCAGTGGATAAGTCAAAAGACCTACACGTACCACCTACTCCCTGAACAAGGGGGGCACATCTTGGAGGACAAAACACTTCTGCGACCAAAAAGGGCTTACCATCGACAATGGACTTGACTTCGGATGCAGCATTTCGCACCTGAGAGTCTAATTGTCTCACGCTGTGAACTGGCAAACTCTCAATTGGGACTGTTTTCTCCTGAGGCACAAAATGGAACTCGGTGGTCACATGCAGCACTTCCTTAGGAATGTCATGATGATACTGGCTTTTGCGACGGTGAGGCGATATCCATTCATCAAACAAGACTTCTTGTGTGGCACTGTCTACAACCCTTCTACGTTTGACGGACTGCCAATTGGGACCATGCTTACCCGTAGTGAGAGTCTTATTAATAAATGAATCATGCCTAGTCCAAACCTCCAAATTGTCGGATGCTCCTTGGGAAAGCTTGGGCACGGATGCCGTGGCTGTGGGCAAATCAGGCGACTGCTCAGTCTCAACAGATTCATTGACAGGCAAGACCTGGACATTCTCAGTCACCTCAGCATCTTCATTCATCATGACCTCGGCAAAAATGGCCTTGGACTCAGTCATCTTGTCAATCACATTGATGATGTACTGTCCAGCAGCATTCGTAGTGAGAGGCACTGTGACACTATCATTGAACAGAGTCAACTCGTTCTTGCCAAAATCAATCACAGCCTGCAAGGTCTGCAGGGCACTTCTGGAAATCAACAGGGGGGCAGCTCCCTTCACCACAGCAGCTTTGATACTGCCAGAGCGACCAGCAATGATCACTGGCAATCGAACCGACCACTCAGTGGTCTCGCGCTGTCCATTTCCAAATTTGAAATGGTTCACCTCAGAGAAAGGTGAGGGAACTGGGAGAGAGTGCTTCTTCCAGAGTGATTCAAATTCCTTCAACGTGTCTCTACCAATAATGGTACGCCCACATCCAGAATCAATGACACCGAAACCCGGTGAGCTCACCAGCATGACTTCATGGGAATCACAGTGATTGGACTCCTTGATCACCTCAGCATTGATGGAAGATGCATGACGTTGTCGTAACATCTCCAAAGTTGACAGCTGAGGGTTGCAGAGGGGGACAACTGCGGCCACAAAGTGCTCCTCAAAGGATTCTACCATGGCCACTCCAGCATATGAGCTCTTTGAGTTGTTGGAACTTCCACCTTTGCCCTTGCCTTTGCTGGGATTGCGACACTCACGGGACCAGTGTCCCACTTGATTGCAACGATGGCATCGAGACTTACGTTTCAGTTCTTCAATCTCCACCTTGTAGGACTTCTTCAACTCACTTGCTGCGCCAAAACGACGCGAGCGCTGGAGCCGACCCAGCTCACGTCTTTTGTCCTTCCAGGACACGGCCAGTGCTTCTGCAATTTCTGACTCTTCGTAGACTTCTTGCGGATCATCATCAGGCTCATTCAAGGCATGGTCAGCCAAAAAGGTCTCCACTTCCTGGATCACGCTATCAGCTTCGTCGTCCTCAGGAACAACTTCAGAGCTGTTCTCTACCAGATTGATTCCAAAAGACTTGCGTTTGGGAACGATGAACTCGGGATAACACGACCGCATTGCTCGGCCAATCTCATCACGCTTGAGACTACCTCCGCTGCGGGCCAAAATGACAGCCCGTTGTTCATCGGACAATCCGGAACGGTTGAGGATCAACCATCCTCTGGCCTCATCTGGAAAATTGACCTTGCACTTTCTCTGACATCTCTCAAAAAGTTCGCCAGCACGAGAAATCCAGACTTTCAGGGTTTCACCCTCAGCAGCTCGAAGACCAAAAACTGATGTGAGAGTCTCAGACATCTCGTCGGACTTGTCCTTCTGGGGAAAACGTTGATCCAAGATGTCCAGAATCACCTTTTCACCACCTGCAACCTGGTACTCAGATGGTTCTAAGTGCTCAATGCAGTCAAGTGCTCGGCCACCTAGAAGAGTATACACATAAGCACCTCGGGCTTTCTCAGGAACCTTTGAATCCAAAGTCAATAACTTGTTCAACACCCAGGTTTTCCAACGCTTGTATTCCAACGCATCTTCACTATCCCCAGTGAATACTTTGCTAACAGTTGTCTCACCAGAGGACTCGGCACCGGCCATAGCTCACGTGGATCTACACGCCTCCTGGAACTCCTATTCCAGGGGAGCCACCGTGTTGGTGGCTCCGCTACCAGTATTGAAACTGGTCGCAGGCCCAAACACCAAGCGGCATTCCAATGCCGTCTCAATCGGGCGCCTTTTTCCTTCGAGGCAAAAGAGTCCCTGCGAGAAAGGAATGTTCGGATGGCGCATGCAAGAGCTCACGTGGATCTACTCAATCAACATATATATATATTATCTGCACAGCACATGTATATGTACACATGTTTAGTGACGAACCACACGATTTCTGGGTACACATTTTTTCACCCATAGATGCATCCATACACACCTGTAGATGTCCCCATGTTGGGCAGAGGCACAGATGCCCTTCTTCACTCGGTTTCAGCCCCTCGGGCGAAACTGGTGGTATTGGGCAGGTTGTCTTCGACATACCAATGTGGAGGGTTTCCTAAAATGGGGGTACCCCAAAATGGATGGTTTATACTGGACAATCACATTAAGATGGATGATTTGGGGGGTACCCCCCCCATTTTAGGAAACCCTTATACGACTTGGGTTTCTACCCCTTCCGGGGAGATAGTCACTTCTAGCTATGTGGTGACTGGCCAATCTCACCTTCCGGATAATTGCATAATTGCAGGTTTAGGATTCCGGCACCTGTGATGGGTGATCTGGCCATCTTTCTCAACAAACTCTTGCAAAGAACTCAACTTTTTTTACGTGAAGTGAAGCTTTTCTGGCAGTTTATTGCAGTACGTAGAGCAAGTTTGAGGGATTTCCCTGGCGTCGTTGAGGTCCCTGGAAGCTTTAGAGGTGGAACTGCATGAGCTGACCGAGAGGTTGCAGAAGGTCTCCAGCCACAACGTGCCTGGGATGGTTGAGCCTCAAGATGCCCAATTTTCATGTGAAACCTGGTTGGAAGTTGGGAAGCCTTGGGAAAATCTGATGAACTTTGGAAACTTAGAGGTTGAGGTGAGAGTTAGAGACTCCCTCGATCATTGACAATGTCACCTTATAACTTACTTATAACCAACCATTTGATGAAGTTTTTTCCCGAATGCGTAGCAAGGGTTCCCGTTTCACTCTGGGGGTCTGGGGGTTGAGGGTGTGTTCGCTCGACGTCGCGTTTGTGGTCGCAACCGTTCGCAACCGTTCGTACGAACTCCGTATGGCCGTGCCTATGGGAAGCTCTGCAGAGGTGGTCATTTTTGGAGGTTTCCAATGTGTCGTTGCTTCGCGTGGCAGGCGTGGCACTTCGTGACATTCAGACGTGTTCTGAAACGTGTCGAAAGTCGTTTCGCATGGCAGGCGCAATACTTTTGCGACGTTTTCAGAAGATGTGTTGCAGTTTTCGTGGCAGGCGCAGCACTTTGGACGTGTCCATCGTCATTTTTCGTGGCATGCGCAGCACTTTCGACGTGTCGTGTTGCGTGTTTTTGTACATCGCATTGGCAGGGCTGCGTCAAGTGGCGACACGGTGCAAATTCCGTGGCAAGCGTGGCATTTTGCGCAATGTGCTGAAAATTGACGGAAGCCTCGCACGAAACGTCTCGAGTCTCTGGTTTTCTTGTGGCTTCGCCGTGTCTACGGGGGAAGCCGCAAAACCTCTCCTTTTCGAAGGTTTCCAAGCAGGTTGTCATGTCGTTTTGCGTGGCAGGCGTGGCACTTTGTGACATTCCAACTTGTTTGATAACGTGTCGAAATTGTCAAAATTGGAGGATGTCTCGCACGAAATGCTGGTTTTTCTGCATCCACGCGTCTCGTCTCGAGTCGCTGGTTTTCCTGTGGCATCGCCGTGTCTATGGGGGAAGCTGCAAAACCTCTCTTTTTCGAAGGTTTCCAAGCAGGTTGTCATGTCGTTTTGCGTGGCAGGCGTGACACTTTGTGACATTCCAACCTGTTTGGTAACGTGTCGAAATTGTCAAAATTGGAGGATGTCTCGCACGAAATGCTGGTTTTTCTGCACCCACGTGTCTCGTCTCGAGTCGCTGGTTTTCCTGTGGCGTCGCCGTGTCTATAGGGGAAGCTCTGCACTCCACACTCTACACTTTACACTCCGCACTCCACAATTTACACTTTAGACTCCACACTCCACACTCTACACTTTACACTCCACACTTTACACTTTGCACTTTACACTCCTCACTCCTCACTCGAGACTTTACACTCCACACTCCACACTTTACACTCCACACTCCTCACTCTACACTTTACACTCCATACTTTACACTCTACACTCTACACTCCACACTTGACATTTTACACTCCAGACTTTACACTTTACACTCCTCACTCCACACTGTACACTCCACACTCCTCACTTTACACTCCACACTCCTCACTTTAGACTCCACACTCCACACTTCTCACTTTACACTCCGCACTCCACACTCTACACTTTCCACTCCACACTCCACACTCCACACTTTACACTCCACATTCCACACTCCACAATTTACACTTTAGACTCCTGACTCGACACTCCACACTTCACACTCTACACTTTCCACCCCACACTCCGCACTCCACACTTTACACTTTACACTCCACACTCCACACTCTACACTTTACACCCTACATTCCACACTCTACACTTTACACTCTACACTTTGCACTCTACACTCCACACTCCACAATCTACACTTTACACACTCCACACTCCTTACTCCGCACTTTACACTCCACACTCCACACTCTACACTCCACACTCCACACTCTACACTTTCCACTCCACACTCCACACTCTACACTTTACACTCCACACTCCACACTTTACACTTTACACTCCTCACTCCACACTCCACACTGGACACTCTACACTTTACACTCCACACTCTACACTTTACATTCTAAACTTTACACTCTACACTCGGCACCCCACACTCTACAATTTACAAACTCCACACTCCTCACTCCACACTTTACACTCCACACTCCACACTTTACACTTTACACTCCTCACTCCACACTCCACACTTTACACTCCGCACTCCTCACTTTGCACTCCACACTCCACACTCCACACTCTACACTTTCCACCCCACACTCCACACTCTACACTTTACACTCCACACTCCACACTTTACACTCCACACTCTACACTTTACACTCGACACGCTACACTCCACACTCCACACTGCAGGCTGGTAACAGGGGAAATATGTACAAGACTGTTCAAATAGACTATTGCAGACAAGTGTTCGGCGTGATTGCATATCCATGTGTTTTGACATCTGTTATACGTGTGAGCATTCGGGTTCGTGGGCTGCATCTTGTTAAAGGCTGGCCCCACGTCTGGTTGAGGTTGACTTTCCGATCCCCATGCTGCAAAGAGCTGCTGGGGCTCACCGCAGGCTGCAGTCTGTGCTCATTGAGATTGGGGCGCTCACCTGACCAATTTATGTGTCGAAGTGGTAGTTTGAGGATTTTTGCTGATGTTGTTTTTGTTGTTTAGTTTAATAGGTTGAAACCATGCAACTTTGAGGATCAGTTGCCACACTCAACATGGCAGTGATATTGTCTGATTGAATTTTGATGGGGATCATCATGGATCATCCAATCGATTTTGGATATTTTGGTGCCCAAATTTTCGTCGAACTTTGGTGTTTTAAGCCATAAGGATGGGACATCACCTTTGAAATTGGAGGCTCCAACGATTGCTGGGAGGCTCGCGGCGGAAGTTGCCGTCTTGCGACAGCTGAAGAACTGTATCGAACAGAGCGCTGATGCAGAGGCTCCATGGCATTCCATGGCCCCGGGATAGAGCCATGGAGCCATCGCCTTTTCCACATGTGGAAAATCACCATTGGGTAAGGGAACAAACCCTGAAGAAGTCGTTGAGTCTGCAGGTTCCCCCAATTTTTCCCTATTTTGCCAAGCCAGGTTTTCCCATTTTCGCTTCAAAACAGCCAAAGCAACCACGAGCTGCGCAGGCCTTGACACTGGCCCTGGCAGAGGCGCAACATGTCTTGGGCGCAGCTGAAGTGCCACTGATGGCCAGGCACCAGGGGACCCAACGGAAGCATTCTGGGATCATCCACTGGCTGTGTTTTTTTCGTTTCTGGGTGACTTCCTCTGAAAAAAATCCCACCTGGCAAGGGCAAATCCATGGAAATCCCGTGTTTTTTTTTGGGATTTTCACGAAAGAGTCATTGATGAAGAGGGGATGCTAAAAATTGCTAGGTTTGATTCCCAGAGGGCTAACACTGTGCATATGCTGCTTTGGATATTCCGGGGAGACAATGTTGCACCATGCTGGTAGAGGCAGAGGCTATAGGTTTAGTTTGGAAACTGCTCGTGTTTAACTGGTTTACCCTCTGGTAAACTAACATAGCTATTAAAATTGGCCATTTATAGTGGATTTTCCCATTAAAAATGGTGATTTTCCATAGCTATGTTAAATTACCAGAGGGTAACTGGAAAGAGTTGTGAACTTCTTCCAGGTGTCGAAAGCGATTGCAGGATCTACAACTGCAGAAACCCCTCTGTGAGGCAGGGTTCCATGAAGCTGAAGAACAAAGAAGATGATTTCCTCTGGTAATTTAACATAACTATGGAAAATCACCATTTTTAATGGGAAAACCCACTATTTCTATGGCCATTTTCAATAGCTATGTTAAATTACCAGAGGGTATTTCCTCTGAAGAACATCAGTTCGTTTTGACACTATTCTTGACATGCAGAATTGTCTTTCTTTGTGTTGGTGTCCAGGACGACGCATTCGATTTTGCGCGGCTTAGAATTTCTGAATTTCACGTTCCAACAGCCCAGCGGCTTACCATTAGTTCCAGAACAGACACGTGGTGTTTGACGAAATTGGGAACCCCGTCAGAATTAGAATTGTTTAAAACTCATCAATTTTCTCAACTCCATCAATCTCTCAAAGATGATTGGCATCACATCTTGCGCGCATAGGCTATGACAGCGGTGCTGAACTCCCGGGATGTGGTGCAAGCCCGACAGCTAGTGGAAATGTTGCAGCAGGTGGGGGAATGCCTCTTCTTCACCATTTCAAAAGCACCTATTTTAAAGGACCAGTTTCCAAGGTTCCTTTGGCAGCGCTTTTTCGGGGCAATGAAATCCCTTGACCTGGTATGTTGTGCGCAGGCCGGGTTGGACCCATTGAGCTCGCAGTGGTTGCCTGAACTTGCCGGTGGTCAGCTGCAGACTGAGCTTTGTGCACTGGTGGAGGTGCTGGGTGTCGTCTGGGTGATTGATCTTTGTTTAAGGAGTGGATCGTGCACTGACCTGTTGTCAAGGACTTGCCAGTGTTGTCAGCAGCCAAGGGCTCGTCTAAAACTCTTAACGACCAATTCTTCAGTGATCCTACCAGCCAGCAGCGACAAAATATCAATCTCGTGCAGTTGTGCCGTGGGGTGTCCTTTTTGGAAGCTTATGTCGCAGAACGAAAAGATAGAACGAAAAGAACAGATCTCAAGAGGCTGCACGTGATTTTTTTGCCCCTTGATTTTTGGAAAGTTGAACATTTATAGATTCCCCCACAACATCAACATCCTTCATGGATTTTTTGAATACTTTCGAATATTCATGGATATTCATAGCAATTTCTGCATGTTTTTATCCACCCAAGCCTCTGAAAATCGCCTGAGATGGCCACATCTTCCAGGCCGAGGAGCTCCGCCTGCAGCGCCTGGCGCAGCAGCGCCAGGCGGCCCTGGCGCGCCGCGCTGCGGCGCAGCAGCGGCGCCTGGGCGCTGCCGCGGCGGCGCTGACGCGGCGCCTGGCCGCCGCGGAGGCGGCGCGCCAGGCGCAGCAGGCGCAACGGGAGGCGCTGGAGGCGCAGCAGCTGGTGCTGGCGGAAGAGGTGCGGAGATGGGGATTTTGGTTGTTTTAAGAATTTGTTAAATGGACTTGACATGTCAAGTTAGATTTTTTTGGGCCACTTTGATGGATTCCTTAAAAAGATGGAGATTAGTGTCTGGATGATCCAGGTGGAATCTGCTGAAACTGTAGGAAATTCTGACAGGTGGAACTTGGGATCTGACAGGTGGCCGAGCTGGCCGAGAGCCTGGTGCTCTGCGACATGCAGCTGGAAGAGCTGCATGAGGTGCAGAGCCGCTGCTCGACCCTAGCGGAGCAGGCGAAAAGCCAGGCGTAGCTTGGCGCGACCGGGCCACGGGGCCCGGGGGATGAACCGTGCAGCTGGGGGATGTTGGCACCTTGGACATCCTTGGACCCCAAAAGAGTAGAGGATTGAAATTCGTACTGCCACTAGTATCACTAGTTAAATGTGGGGTTGATTGTGATGAGCATTTTCCCAGCATGTTTGATGCTTTCCGAATCTGGATGACCCCAATTACGGGGCTGATGACCATCATGTCTGGGATGATCAGCCCTTCTTGGCAATGCCGCTGTTCCGAGGATTGGAGGTGAACTCTCTCGCGTTGCCCAGGAGCTTCAATCTCCAGGTGGGAAGAGATGTCAAGTTTAGAGAAGCGTGCTGCATCACAGACTTCAGCGCAAGCCTTACAGATGTCCACACCATCTTTTAGAGGAGATTAGACGAGACAAGATATCCAGGAGAGACATAGAGGGAAACAGAGAGACATAGAGAGACATAGAGCGACATAGAGAGGTTGAGATCGAGAGATGGAGATACTGTAATGATAAAATTCAGACACAAACAGGTCTACAAATTCAATACACATTTACAATAATTTACACATATACAAATGTATTCTACAGAAATTATACATCAGATAGATGTGTAGATGTATATCCCGTATCTGGACCAACGCCCCATCGCTTTTCAAGGCTTCGGAATTGGATTTGTCCAGGCCCAGACTTGATGGCACTGGCCAGTCGTCTCCGGGACGCCCGGGACGCCTCGTTGTCCTCGCGTGAGCCGGGCGGAGAGCTGGCGCTGGATGGCTCCGGAGGCTGCTGGATGGGTCTGGATGATCCCCTGAGAAAAAGAGAGTTTTTGCACCGAGGTCCAGGGGGGGTTGTTTCACCAAAAAAAAGGGTACCCTCTGGTGAACTAACAGTTTGCTATGGATAAAATCACCATTTTATAGCTGGGAAAATCCACTATTTCTATGGTCATTTTCAATAGCTATGTTAAATTACCAGAGGGTATCAGTTGCCGTGCTGGGTCCCTGAATGTCCCTGATTTTTTGACGGTCTCATCACTTTAACCGCTTGCAATGAGGAGTTGATTAGCAGTGTAAGTTTTTTAGGCTGAAACTGGGGCCTGGGCAGTTCCAAATGGTAGGCTTGCTTGAGCCGGGCAGCCAGTTGCTGAGCCAGGTGGGATGACTGGGTGATGGCTATGTTGGCTATGTAGATCACCAGTACTCGGGGATGCGGTTGCTGCCAAAACGAGATCACTCCGATGTGGGTTGGATACTGGTAGACTGGTAGACATATGCTTACACTGACTGGTTTGGTGGCGAAGATTCCGGTGCGTAAACAGGGCGGTTCGGTATTGAACCTACCGAAAAATCAGAGCGCATGACACAGAAAGCCAAGCGCTGCCATCACCGTAGGGTAGCCGCCCATCATCTATCATGGATCACCTCCATCATTTGCAAATTGTGCTGGGACATAATGCTTGGGGTATGTTCCAGTCAATTCCCCATGCAAATCATGATTCTGCTGTCATTGCGTTCTTTTCAAGACTTAGGAAACTGGATGGTTCACTACCTAGCCGTTAATAATTTTGCCCCTCAGTACACCTCGCCTCTTGTTCTTTTTTATTTTTTTTGTCTAGCGGCTAGCAGTTGGATATATGTAAATAAATATAATATATATTATATATATTATATTATATTATATTATATTATATATATATTATATTATATTATATATATAATTATTGTATACACATTACTGTTGGCTTTTCCCCAACAAGTGGTAGTTTTGGAGTCAAGATGTTGGACCTTTTGAGCGCAGGTGCAGCAACTCCAAGCTGCGCTGGAGCAGGAGCGCTTGATGTCCAGTTCCTTAAAGGCGCCGACGCCAAGGATGGGGATATTGACTATAAATAGGATACCCTCTGGTAAACTGTTACATAACTATGGAAAGATCCACCATTTTTAGCTGGGAAAATCCACTATTTCTATGGTGATTTTCAATAGCTACGTTAAATTACCAGAGGGTACATACTTCAATAGAGAGACATACTATAAATAGGGATATAGGATACCCTTGGATACATACTTGAAGCATTTCTACTTTAACTGGGGATATTGAACAAACATGGCAATGGTTTTGGGGGGTAAACGATGATCAACCATGATTTTTTTTTGGGTGCCATTTTCAGACAAACGCCATAACAAAACCATAAAGAAAGCAAAGGGATGACAGTGGTGGCACAGGGCTCGGCCACGTCTCACTGAAGGGATGAGTTGCGCCAAATCGACACACAATACTTGGGTGGATTTTCAGACATGTTTTTTTTTTTGCTACCCTCTGGTTATGACTAACAGTTTGCCATGGAAAATCACCATTTTATAGCTCGGTGAACCATCTATTTCGATTAGGGCCATCTATACCATGGCTATGTTCGTCATAATCAGGTTGGGTATTTGTCACTTGATGCCTCTGATTCCCAAAATGAAGTGATGAATCTGGGTTTCGGGCCCCCAGTTCCGAGCCGTAGGCGGAGCTGGAGGAGATCAAAGCCTTGAAGGGCACAGGTCTCTTGATCTCCTAAGACATCTGGAAGCGGAAGCTGCTTGGGTGGTCGACAAGATGCTGATGGAGGATATGGAGCTGGTGCAATTTTTCAGGATAGCTTGGGATGGCGGAGCAACGCAAGGGTACCATGCAGAAAGGTGACTTTGGAGGTGTTTTTCCAGGAAGCTGTGCCTCTGAAAGAAGAACCAAGAATGACCAGGAGATGTGCATCCTAATTCGTGCCCATTTGCACTGACGAAGCAGTGTCGAAGGGCAAGTCTCGCAAGTATCGTAGCTTTCGCCGCGGTTTTCAACCACCAGGTCGTCCGACAGGAGTCTGCCGTGGACGCGTGGTACAGAGGTCTCCCAAGACTTGAGATGGAAAGCGACCGTGTGGCACTGCCACACTTTTTCTTTTGTTTTGAAAGAAGATGAAGAAGATGAAGATATTGATCATACGGCGCATACGTTATCAATTCTGGATGAAAAGTGATGCCATTGCTTTCTTCACATCTTGACCAAGTCGGGGGAGTGATGTAGGGCCTAAGGCCCTGCAGGGACCGAGTAAAAATCCCCGCAGGCTTTTGGGGCCGGGCTGGGGATTTTTCTTCTGGTGGCAAGGGTGACCCACTATCAAACAGGTCAGCAGCTCATCAGTTATGCGTCCTGCTTGTGCCACCCCTCATATCTACATTCAAAAAGTGTTCAGTGTTGAATAAGTCACCTCGGCGGGCAACCTCTAAGCTACTTGTCAGTCAAAGCCATCTGCAGGGCTATACCATGATGATCTGGGAGAGGGCTGTGTCACAAATGGCATCAAACATATTCTGCGGGGGCCATGGGGCTGCTGCCCAGTTAGTTAGTGTCTGGCTGCCAAGATTTGCTCGAAGAAGTTTTCAAACGGGAAGAACGATGCAGCGGAGACACGGTCACATAGCACAGCAACTTGACGCAGCCGACAGCACAGCCACAACAGTCCCTGAAGAAGCAATTGATGGAGTGCGAGACAGAGTCTGAACCCCTACATCTTTACAAGTTTTCGACACACCCAAATCCCAAATCTGTCACACTGCGAGGAAGACATTTTCATCCCCAGTACCAGGGGTTGCCGGTCGCAACGCGCCGCTGTTGTGCCCTTTCATGGTGAACAGCCAGGCAGCTGGCCCCGGGGTCAGCTACTCTTGACATCTCTTGATTTGATGTTGTTGCATGTTGTTGCTGGTTAAAGAATGTTAAATCAAAAAACTGAGATGTCAAATCACCAAATCACTAAAATTGGTTTTTCTTGTACAAGCCTCCGCAATCTTGCAATGAAAAATCGATCATTGATGGCTCCCAGATGCGGATTTCCCAGCCATGATCTGCGCCAGGCCGTTGCCAGGGAACTTCCCGGCAGGGGCGCTCAATTGCACACGTGGCGGGGACAGGGAGAAGAGCCAGGACCCCAGGATGGAGATGTAACCAACATGATCAAATTCAGCAACATGGTGGGATATGGTGGGATATAACTATATAACCTTGATACAACCAACCGACATGTTTGATTTTAGCAGCAATGGGGATGTAAACTGCAACACTGGTGATAGGATCAACATGCGTGGAGCATGGGTAGATGGACATATCATGACATATCAACAGCTACCCAAACCAGTGGGACTGTTGACCCAAGGGATGGATAGTATCTGATAGTTACATACCCCAAGAACATGCGGAGTTGTAACCTGAATTTGGCTTTCTCTCAACGTCGGATACAGGATGGGGCCCCCCAGTTATAAGTTGGTTTATAAACCATTATAATGGTTTATAATCCCCATTAACTATAGTTATATCTACCATAAACCATTGTCAAGCCACTTATAAACCAACTGTAGCCCATTGAATCGCATGGTTGCCAGCGCCGAGGCTTGGCTTTGAGCCATGCAGGCCACCAGGGGGATCCCCTTTTCACGGAGTTGGGCCGGTAGATCTTTGCTGGTACCCGGCCTGGTAAACGTTAACAGAAAGCTATTGAAAATGGCCATAGAAATAGTGACTATAGTGGATTTACCCAGCTATAAAATGGTGATTTTCCATAGTTATGTGACAGTTTACCAGAGGGTATATAGATAGGTCTGACTCCATCTCCAAACCATTTCCTGGCTTTGCAGCATCCAACTTCACATCCTCGTCCGAAGGTGGCACCCAATTCTTCAACCATATTCTCCGGGAGGAGCAGATTGACATTTTCTTGCGAGCCAAATGAGCCGCCCATAAAGCAAGCCTTCGAGCAACAAGTGGGGCCCACTTCTGGGTAGTAAGTTGCTCCAACTTAGCCCAAAGTCTCAATTTGTGGCTAGCCGATTCGCAATAAACTGCAGGCACCAGGCACTCCCACCCTGGATCAGAGGCGTGGTGGGTTTGTCCAGTGGATACCCCCGGGATTTTAGGACAAAGCCATCGGTAGATGTTTTTTCTTCGCACCTGGGATGTGTCTTGGAGTTGCCCAGCTGTGTAGGTCGAGTTTTGGCCACAGTCACAGCTTTTCGTGGGGGCCCGAAGTTTTCGTGATGCATGGCTTGGCTTGGTGAGTGAGTACCCTCTGGTAAACTAACGTAGCTATGGAACCTGGCTATTTATAGTTGATTTGCCCATTAAGATTTAAGATGGTGATTTTTCACAACTATCTTGCTTTACCAGAGGGCAAATGGAAGAGCAATTTGTTCAACTCACAATGCACCCCCAGTTAGCTGAAGTCTCAAGCATCTTCCATTTCTGGTCATATTTTCTGGAGACCTCCGGAGCAGGTTTTGTTCAGAGTCCAGAGTCCTCAACTTGACGGTGCAGTTCCAGTTTTTCGTGGATATGTAGCCATGGTATGCCACACTTAGAGGGGCCCATGTCCCAATTAATTGGAGTTAAACGACCATGGTTGTACTCATAAATTCCCTTAGCGAACTGGAGAATCACCATGTTCAAAAGGGTAAATCCATCATCCTGGAGGTTTATCAATGTTTATCATCCTTAAATGGGCAATTTTCCATAGCTCTGTTAAATAATCAGAGGACAATAACCTCAACTGCATCCTTATCCTCCAGGTTTGATGGTCGCCCGTTGGGCTCACCCATCTCCAACCCGCAAGAGCCCTCAGTGTGGCGCCCTGGAGAGGAGGTGCTTTTTTTGGGCTTCGAGGGTTTTGTGGGACTGGTGATGTAACCCCCAAAAGGACAGAACCGCTTTTTTTTTTTCTCCTGATTTTAATGGGATTTCACTTTTCAGTTTTGGAGGTTGCTAGAGACCTGTGGCAGAGCGTCATTTTTGGTAGCTCCTTTAGGATCGTGGATGGCACTTCTTGGATTCACTGGGATGGAAAAAGGTTTTTCGATGCCGTCTTCATAAGTACAGAAAACTGCGCAACCTTGGCAGTCACGATCTCATCAATAAGAGGGATACTTGTCACACTCTGGGTTTTGGACCAAACCCTAACGTGCTTTGGAGAGTACATGGTTTCCACGCAACCACCGCTGCCTGTCGGCCTTGGCTCAGACGTTCCCCGGTTCATTGTTCGGCTGGGCCGTTCGCCGGGCCGCAACAGCAATCATGGATCAGAAAGGGAAGATTACCGCAGCCTGACTTTGAGACCAGTCAGGATGTCTGGAGTCAGTTTAGTTTGTCTGAAACTAGGGCACCCCCAAAATCCAATGCTTTATCAAATATTTCTGCATTAAGATGGGCCATTTTGGGGCTATATAGTACATATCCCATTTCCAGACATGCGCATTCTTTTTCCCAAAATCCAGTTGGAGTTGAACATGTACTGTGGGATCCTTAAAATGTTCTTCTCACTTGTCAGAATGGCAAAATTCCTGGGATTGGACAGGGGTGCACTTTTTTTTCTGAGCGGACTCTGGGGCCATCCCAGTAACTATTGGCTACTCGAGATGGCGATGGCTGGTCTACTTGTCATTTGTTGCTCAACATTGATTCTTGCAGCTTTGTAGGTTCACAGTTTCCATTCAGAATCTCACTGGTGGGATCTTTGCCAAGCAGAGCTTGATTTGGGAGCTTCAGGCAGCATTCAACGATAGCACGGCGCGGAGCCTTAGATTCTGCAAGGGGGCTGCGTCGCGGCGCATCCCACATGAAGTTGGATGCAAAAGTCCTTGAATTTGCTGGTCCATTTTGGGTACCCCTATAGAGATCCTGGAGGTGTTTCGTTTATCCAGTGGCCCAGGGGTTGCAGGACCGCAAAAGTGGTCTGAGGTGGGGATGGATGAGCCAGTCTCCCCCATCACGCTTGCCTTGGTCCTGCGGCAGATCATGCCCAGCCTCGCCATTGCGCAGGCCAGTGGGAGGCTTTTCGGGCCCTTCCATGTCTCGTTTTCATAGCCTTTGTGGCAGGTGGATGATATGGTCTCGGCACATATGTTGGAGAAGGCAATGTCCAAAGTTCCTCGGCCCCAGAGGGAACTACAGGGGGCTGCTCCCTGAATTCAGGGACTTACCAAGCCTTCAAATGATCCTTCAATTTGCTGCAAGCTTCAGGACTGCAGAGGTTTGGCATAGACACTCAGATCGATTGTTTCGGAAGATCAGACCAAATTCAGCAACCCGTTGAAACCGATTTTGGCCCGAACAGAACCAACTGCAACAGGACTGGACATTTCGACATAGCTTCAACTCTGCCGCCGTGGCACCTTCCAAGGAGACTACGTTCGCGGCCTTCTTGGAATGGCTCTTTTCTGAGGACCATATGCGAATTATGCAGCCCGTGGTCAAGGCACAGTGGTACATGAAAGAGGGTAACGAATGGTCGATGAATCAGGAGATGTGTATGACTGGATGACTCACATCAGCGCTACAGATACAACAACCCAAAACTTTTGGTAATCAAGGTTCAGTGGGCACGGAGGGTGTACTTCACCTCCATAAGACATATATACCTGCCATATCCTACCATTATCAGGTGTTCCTCCGATGGATTGATTTGAACATTTACAGGACACCCATGGGACCCATTTTTTTTGGGAGAAAAAACCTGGTTTTGCGTAGATTTTCACAGCAATCAGACCTCACCAGCCAACGGCAGGCCGAACAAGGCAAGGCTGAAGCATCGGCTGCGGCCAAGGTGAGCTGGCATGTGTGTTGGTCAACTTTTCCGGCCTCTCAACCCACTTAATTTACTAATGTATATGGCTCAAACTGATTGGTCCCAAAAAATTGGATAGTTGAAAATCTTGCGCAACCTCAAAAAGAATCGAAAAGTTCAACCAGCCTGGTAAAGCAATTAGTGATCAGCTTCTTTTCTATCCGGGGCTTACGATTGGAGCCATAGCTAGTGGGTGTCAGGTGCCGCCTGCATCAACCTGCGTGGATGTGGAGCCGCTGGGGTCTGGTGGTCGGGTCGGAGCAATGCAGCGGGAAAATGCCTAGATTTTCCATGGGAATTTTTGGGGACCAGATTTTCCAGAGGCCATATGCCCTGGGAAAATGGGGAGCCGAATTGTAGGTCAAACATGGTCAAACTGATAGGCCTCCTGGTATCCATCCAGTTTGGGATGTCAATTTGCGATATAGGCATCAGTTGGTCGATTTTAGGCCAATGCCCAAATGGCTTTTAGGCCACGTCAAGAAAGTTGGGGATCATGGCACTTCCAACTCATCCACAAGAATTGATAGGTTGGAGTTTCAAATTAGGGAAAGTTGCAAAAGGTCATAAAAAACAGATCGAATATCACGAAAGGCAGCTCCTGTGGGGCTACTTTGAGTTTTACTTTACGAAGTAAAGGGCAGGGTGGAGCCCACTTAGCTCTTAAACTGCCTGCATTCACTGGCAAGCATCGGAGGAAACATCCAATGTGGTTCACCCATGCTCGCGCAGCTTTTTTTTGTATGTTTTTGTTGGCAGAACCCAGTTTCTGTCGGTTAAAGCACACAGTTTTGCTGGTGAAACACCAATCCTTTGCTGGTGAAATGCCTCAAACAGGGTGGCTAGCGGGAGCGGTTTGGAGCGGTATCCACATTCACCATGTTTTCGAACGGGAGCCAAGGATTCATAGCCCTTTCCCAACCACATGATAAAGCCCATATGATTGGTTTTCGGTTTCCATCTTATTCAGTTAAATAACAATTAAAATAATCATCGATATTTCATAATGTCTCCATATGATTAATACATGGATGCAATTCACATAAAAATCATAAAGCCATATGCCATCATCAAAGAGATGTAAGCCATCACACGATTCAATTAGCATTGTAATATATTGTAATATGTTAGACGAAAATGAGATACGTTGATGGTTAATTGAAACAAACGCCATATAAAAAACCTTAAACTAAATATGACCATGGTCTTATAAAAAACCTTTGGTCACCATACAAAACCCTAAAGGTGAAGACTTTTTGCGTTGAGGCAGATGCCCGACGAGGCGGCAAAGTCCTGGCAAAGCTTCCAGGTGTGGCCGCAGAGATGGATTGAACCATAAGCCATAAAGTTAACTATGGGTTATATAACTATGGCTGACTATGGCTTATAAGTGGCTTAACTATATTACTTAACTATAGATTCATGGCTTATGAGTGGCGCAACTATGGGTGATATAACTTAACTATATTTAACTATCTACCATAAGCCATAGAATTCAGCCACAAGAATATCTCAACCGAACGCTATCTGAAGGGGGCCCCATCCTGTGAAATTGTGTGGTCAATTTCGCCCCCCAAAAGATCTGGTTTAGTACTGGATCTATTCATGTTTGGGGCACTATTCGGGGGATTATATGGGAGAATCCCAGTTATTCGCTGGGAATCATTCTTATACATGATTCAATGATTATACGACAATTACATGTAGATATTGATAAACAAAATATAAATAAATAAAATACCTATGGGCGTATGAGCTGTGATTTTCCCATATGAATGGGTGGGATGAAGATCCACAACTGCTACGTATTTTGATGTGAAACCAGGCTACCAGGGGTCCAAAAATCCAGCCCGGGCCAGCCCCGAGAGAGTACCCATTTTTGGCCCAAGTATGACATAATACCCATGTAGCTATGGCTAAAAAAGATGTGAGCCACTTCAAAGATTGGATGCTTCAACGGACAAGGATTGAGGATATTGCTGGGAAACATGGGTGTGTAGCGTATCCACCACAGAAGAGGTGTATAACCAAGAATGATCGGTTTTGTGCGTATTAAGAATGACAAAAATGTGCGGTTCCAGCAATACGACATCCCGAAATCATCCCCATGTCAATCCCTATATTTTTGTTATGAAAAAATCTGTCGAAACAGGCAGTTACAACAACCTATCTAGTCTGATAGTATATAGGTTACTTGTATCCCTCATATAAGCCCAATGATCTTTAGTATCATTTTGCAGTTCTGGTATCCACACACTGACACTGTAGCGATTTACCATGTAAATTCATGTCATTGAGCATGTATCCCCACAATCAATCTCCATTCTTAAATATCCATATCCATATCTCTCATTCATAGTTCCATACATCATCCCCGTGATTCTCCTGCATCTAAGTTTGAGGATCTCCTTCTAAAACCTCTAGGGCCATAGGGGATTTTGAAGTGCTATGGCTTTTTTTGTCAGAGGGTACTGTAAACTTCCATACGTATGTATACATTATATATCATTATATATACATCTCCAAGTGCACTGGCCAAATGACTACCGCTCAAAAAGACTGCGGCTCGTGCTCTAGGAGCTCCTGAAGAGCAGGCCGTATCTGGCAGATGCCTCCACAGGACATCCCCTGTGCTCCTTTGCAGGGAGCCCCTGACAAAGCTTGGGATTGAAGGGAAAAAAAAGATCAGATTGAAACAACAAGGAAAGGAGTCGTGCGCAGCATAGATGATATTTTTCTGGAACTTTTGAGGTTCCGAAGCAGTTCTGAGGGTCATCCAAGTGGCTGCGCTATTTCCTTTCCTTTGATATTCACCGCCCCACAGGAACCCTTGATTTTAGTTTTGGATCCAATGGTTCTTTTGTTTGCCAAGATAGCCAACATGATTAGATTCTTGTCGAGGTGCAACTGTGCAATCAGTCCTTTGCGGACAAGAAGTATGAGGCTGTTCCGCAGATGCTGCTGGTTTTTCTGTGCGCATGTCCACGAGAGTGGCGGGGCCCCAAACCATTGGGTCCCCTACCCGTTAACCATTTATTGCATGACATGGGGTTCCGCAATCTTTGGACAAACCCATGTGCATGGACTGATGAGCTGCCCCAGTCTCCAGAGTCAACTCCAGTACCCACACTTGATGTCTGATAAATGATCGCAGAGACTCTGGCCCTTGCTTATTGTCTCAAGACTAGCAAGCCACCAAAACGATGAGGTGTCAGCCGAATTCTCCCATGACAAGCGCGTTTCTGCCAGGAAACGTCCATCTTAGTGGATCGAATCAACAGCACGATCACCGAGGATGAAAAAAGGCTCGGACTCGGCCGAGACTCTTCCCTTGGCCGGAGCAACAAAAACAACCAACTCCTCCATTGACCTCTTCTGGTTGGTGGTTTCAAACATGGCTTTTATTTTCCATAATATATGGGATAATCCTTCCCATTGACTTTCATATTTTTCAAGATGGTTAAAACCACCAACCAGTCTTTGTTTCTGGGGTTCCCTACTCTTCATCGAAAGATTTGAAACCCGAAAAGATGTTCCTCTCAGCTTAAAAGAAAGCCTGGTTTTTGGTGTCAGGATTGCTGCTGCCTTCAAGCACTTCGACAAGGATGGCTCCGGAGTACTTGAGCATCAGGAGATTTCCTCGGCTCAGGGCATCATTTTAAGGGCTGGGTTGGCAAAACATCTGGGAATGGGTCCAGACCTATGATCGGCTCAGTGTTTTTTTTTGTCACAGCCTAGTATCCATGGTGGTACCACCAGTACCACCAGTACCACTATGCTGTGACCCGAAGCCCATCCGTCAGGAGTTCAAATTCCTTTGTGCCTACCTGGGATGGTCCTCGGAGGAGTCCAACAGTGCCTTGGAAGCGCTGGGGAAGCAGACCATGGCGCCATGGCGCCATGGTGAACGCAGTGAACGCAACTACCTTCACTTCCAGGGATTCCAGGGTCAGAACTCAGCTGCTGAGGTATTGATGTGAATAAGGACGGAACAGTGTCTTTGCTGCAGTGGAATCAGGTTTTTTGCTGGTTGAAAGCTGATCAAGTGTAAGAACGATGAAATTCATGGTATTGGCACTGGTCAGTAATGCCCATCATGTGTGAAAGACCACACCTCTTACCGCAACATGTTTTTTTTGAATTGCCCATGGAAAATGGAGGAAGTGCATTGCCCGTGGATTTGTTCACTTTCGGGTCCGATGTAGGGTTGTTGAACCTATTCCCATTGTTACTGTTCTAATTCTTATTGACTTTTGTTGGTTGTTATGGATGCCCACCACCATCATTATCATCATCACCATCATCATGGTCATGATCATGATTGTCGGCACTATAATTAGACTACAATCATTCTTCTTTTTCTTATCAGCATTATTGTGTCATCCGGGTATTAACGCGAAAAACAAGGGTCCACTTCTTACACCCTCCCACCCCCCTACTCCCCGGTTGAACATGCGAGAACATCTGCAACGTACATGTAAGCATTAGGAACATGTCAACATCCGCAACATGTCAAATGCTGGCAATGAAGGCACACAGCAGTTTGATGAAAAAACTCACGCCCGCGTCTGGGCGGTCACCCCAACAACAACATGATGATTGTAGGAACAGTAAACCACATTACTTACGACTACAATCATTAATCATTACAATAATCACTATCACCGTTATCCGTTTTCAAATAGATTAAGCAGGACACCAATAATCATGTTATCATTAGTCATATTAGTCATAAAAACTATTCATTGATGGTGTTTCTTATGTTTCTTCCCTGAAACATGGTATCTTTCCGCTGCCAGGTGAGTTTGTCCGAGCTCCAGACGTTCGTGGGCTATCTGGGCGGCGTGCAGAAGTTCTTCGAGCAGCGCCGCAAGCGCGTGACGCAGAGCCGTAAAGACGTCGGGTCGCCCAGCTGCGGGTGGTGAGCCACTCACCATTGGGGGTGAGCCAGCCATTTGGGTTGGCCAATGGTGACTAAAAAAGTGGTTGAATATGGTTGGATAGAGTTTTTTTTAATGTACTAACTGGAAGGTAAGGATTCTTTTTTTGTGTGAGATGGGATATAATGTGGGAGATTTAAGCAATGCCTCTCATGCAACCATATTGGAGGTGCGTTTTTTTTTCTCTTTTTTTTTCCATCATCCCAAATGGGGGGTCCAATAACCGCAATAAAGCCCTATTGGAATATCGCAAGTCGTATGGGCTATAGAATAATATCCAGTCACTCGCTGGGATGGCCACGATGACTTTACTGACTTTCCGCAAGAAGCACATGGCAGTTTGGTTTCCAGTTTTCAAGCTTCAAAACATTGGGGGCCCTGAACATCAAAGAACCCTGGGCAACGGTTTACGTTTTTTTTTTGGGGGGAACCCCTCCCAAAAGCAATGAGGAATGCAGAATTCACCAGTGATCCAACTGGTTTTTTCACGAAGATTATCATGCCATGGGGCAGCGAATTTGGAAGGTCACTGAAATATGGCTGCCATGGATTCCACGAATCTTCACCAATAAAGTACCCTCTGGTTATGTCAAAATAGCTATTGAAAATCACCATTCATAGTGAATTTTCCCATGAAAAATTGTGATTTTCCATAGTTATGTTAAATTACCAGAGGGTAAACAGTAGCCCAGTCCATCTTTTGCAGATCAAAACGGAGATCGGAGGGTTGAAAAACATGATGTGACCAGGTTCTCGAAATGAGTCGGGCAAAAATGAGGTCCTTGCAACTGCCTTCCGGTAATTCAACATAGCTATGGACAATGGTCCATTTAGTTTCATGATTTTAGCTATTGGAAAGGGTAATTTTCAAAAAATATAGGGGTTTTTCCATTACCAGAGGTTACCACCAGTTGATTTCATTTTCTTCATCAGTTCTCCTCCCCTTGTTCTCCCCTTCCCTTGTTCAGGTGAAGGATGTTTGTCCCATTGTGGGAGTGGAGGTGGGTGCCCGCGTACGGGCGCATTTCTACTACAAAAATGGGCAGAAATCCAAGTCCTGGCGCGAAGCACAGGCGCGGTGCTGGATCTTGGAAGCTCTGTTTGTTGGTTTAGATAACTTCATCCAACTACGGTTATCATCACCCTAGTTAACCTAGTTAAGCTAGTTAACCTAGTTAATCATAAACATTTTTTTGCGAACCACGTGGAACCACCTTGTAAGAAAACGGGTTTACTTGAAGGCTCCCAATTGAAGCTGAGCACTGCCTGGGGAAGATTTCAGAGCACCTTGGAGACCACAGTCAGGTGTTGACAAGTCCTCCAACATTAGCCTTCAGCATTCCTAGCGACGAAGCAATACTGGATTTGGAGATCATAAAAGTCCCAACTGGGATCCTAAAGTCCAAAGCCTAGCTCTTGACATCTCCACGGACTTGAAATCACCAGAAAAAAAACCATTGAGGGGGCCACCTGAAGCCCACAGGTGCTTTCCGTGAACTGTCACACGGATTCAGGCGCGGGATGGCTGGTCATCTATGGCCTGGGGTCTGGCAATCCCACTTTTACATCTTTGAGGTTTGTCGCTTTTCTATGTAATCAGTTGCGTGCCAAACGGTAAACAGAAATCAAGAAATCGGATAGGAATAGTTCCCGAGCTTTAGCAGCCAAGAACAGCTAAGAATACCCAAGTGGTTAAGTGAAACACAATCTGGGGGGTCAACTGGATGTGAGTTTCCATAAATTTTTGGGGATGAACATCCAGAATGCCAGCCATTTTGCTTGAAAACTCAGGGCATTCCATGGGTGGACCCAGATCGCTGACAGGTCGAGGAATTCTGTTGGAGTTCGGCTTCGAAGATGTGAAAGGAAACAGCGACTGGGTGGCCCGACAGGCCTCTCTTCCTCTGCCCTGCCCGTGGGGCCCTGGAGTTCTGTTCTGGGCAACATTTACTTGGCCGAAGCATGAGTGGTCAAATCTCGAATGGAATTGGGTTGACTTCAAGCCCATTCTCCATTTTTTACATTCACATCCCATCTTCAGGATTTCAGGAAAGCCACATCTTCACCTCTGATGGTTCAACTTTCCCCTTCCCATCGTTTCTGGCAGGTCGTTCCGACCAGTTGGATCCTGAGCAGTCAAGAGGAGACCAGTCTGGCGGCAGCCCTCAGGGAGGCGGAGATGCTCACCTAAGCCACCCATGGTTTGGGGGGACCAAACCATGCCAAAGCAACAATAGAAAGGCATAGTTTGGTTGGATACAATATGGGCTTTATAATCCAACAATATGATCTGCGTTTGTCTCCAAATAATAAGGGGGTTTGTCTCGCCACCAGATTTTTTCGGCCATTTCAATGGGGAACCGCGTGTTTCAAACATTGATCAACGATGTGTGCTGATTTTGAGACATACGGTACCCATTTATGTTGGGACATGAGCCTTTTTTTCTGGACGATGAACGAACCGTTATCCAGGGATCACAGTCCAAGAAACCTGGATGTCAACCCGAGAATTCTGGCGATGGCAATCGAACATACCTGCTGATTGATACTGATTGCAAGCGCAGAATCTAGGGAGTTCTTCGGCGTCCAGAGGATCCCGTCCTTCAGGTAGTTGATTGAGTGTTTTTTGGGCTTGGCCATCCAGTGGGGAGTGGATTGTGCTCAAAGCAGGTTGGAATCTTGGATGATTCCCAAGCGCTTTACAAGATGCTCTTTCCCATGTCAGAATTGCACTCCATCCAGGCGGCTGGGTACGGATGGGGGATGGCTTGAAGCTTGGAGAGAGATAGGGCAGACGCTTGAAGTTTTCATTGCTCATCATTGCTCATCATTGCTCATCATTGCTCATCATTGCTCATCATTGCTCATCATGGCTCATCATGGCTCATCATGGCTCATCATGGCTCATCATGGCTCATCATGGCTCATCATGGCTCATCATGGCTCATCCTCCTCATCATCATCGTCATCATCGTCATCATCATCATCATCATCATCATCTTCATCATCATCTTCATCATCATCTTCATCTTCATCTTCATCTTCATCATCATCTTCATCATCATCACCACAATTATTTCAATCGTTACCATTAATACCAATTATAATTTCCATTAGTATTACGATTATTCGTAATCACTATATATGATTCATTGTATTTATCATCACCATCACGATCATGTATCACACTGATGGTTCGAGACCGCTCAGACCGCATGTGTTGCCTTGGCACCGCATCAGACTGGTATAGAGAATTGGTCCGATTCTTTGGTTCCCATTTGCAGCTTTGTGCCCTTTCAAAAACAACACAGATGACTGGTTTGTACTTTGAATTGGAATGCCATTCGAAGACTCAGACATAAGCCAAAAGCAAGCGATTGCAGCATAAATTGGTGTGAGTACAAAACCATAGCTTGGATGATGGTTTGATTGTGTTTGATTCTATACACAGGAGCTAGTCCAGTAGCCGCTTTGTAGATACGCACGTGGTAGTCCCTACCTACTCTAAGTCGCCTGGCAACAAAAACCAAAGTATCCCTCCAAACCCAAGAAACCCACGGCTTGGCCATGACACGTGTTCCCAGGGACTTTCCCCTTGCACGGCAGCAATTCTCGGGGTCCGTGATGTAGACCATGTCTATTAGCCAATGTTTGTAATTATAGACCTTTGATATTCATATCACAAATCAAGAGCATCTATCGACAAAAGTCTACTACATCACCACCGTTTTTGATGAATCTACTGAATCTACTTCTTTTCCTGATGTTTGTGAACTATCCCTCCTGCAACTACTTGTAACCGCAGCCTTCGTTGTTGACGTTCTCATTTTTGATGCCCCTGCCCCTTTTAGGGAACGGACTATGATGAGATGCTCACTCAACCGGGTTTTGAAGGATATCTAGTTTGAGCTGATCAAAACTGACAAGACCTTGCGTTTTTGGGACACCATTTGGTTACTACTTACCATCTGGTTATTTAACATCGCCATGGAAAATCACCATTTTTGATAGGTGAACCATCTATTTCTATGGGCCATTTCCCATGGCTATGTTAACCAGGTTGGGTAATCAACTCAATGGTCCCATTCTTCACTATGGTCACCTCCAAAAATATCGAACAGTCATTTGTCATTTGGGTATGGATCAATACCTATGAAAATACCATTTCTAGGGGGATGAACATCCATAAATCCCAGCTATTTTGATGTGAACTACAGGGGTAAAAGGTTTTGACACACTGTCATTTGTAATTTATCAATGTGTCATCACTGTCATCACTGTTTACCAGAATTTTACTACACCCCGTCTTTGTTTGGGGGGTTGCCCATTCTACCACCGTTTTTCTACCCAGCTGTGGCAGGGCTTGGTAAGCTGTCAGAGAGCTGCCCTGTCGATGGTGCGACAACATGCTTCGTTGAGCCACGAGCACCTTGGACTGGTGACGGATCACCACTGAGATGCTGGTTGTTGGATATGGCTTCCCACCATGTTTCTTGTGTTTTATATAATATCTTTAAGATTATTTAAGGAGTCTTCTCAGCCGCCAATCATGAGAGGTCTGTTCTTGTGTGTGTGTGTATGTGCACTGTATACCGGTATACCCGTGCCTGGAGTAGAATTAGAAGATCGAACATAAACACGAGTACTTGCTCACTTGGTCTTTTGAAGATTGTTTGTTGTCCATTTCATCACTGTTTCGAACTGCTTCCCTTTTGAAGGGACAAATTCTCACTGCACTCCCTGAAAAGTCCTATATCAATGTTCCACCGCGTTGGTATTGACACTTATTGCGCTGATGGCATTCTTGAGTTAATAAGCATTCTACAGCTGTGTTCGCAGGGTCATCGGTTTTTGAGAGCTCAAGATTCAAGCAGTTCCAATGTATTGCCATCTTCCGTTGCTACACATTTCGCCCTGAAATCTGCTGAGTCTTCTGCCTTGGGTATCCGCCAACAAGGCAACCCTCCAGAAAAGTTCTAGACCAAAGACAAGGATCCAGTAGTAAAAAGTGCTATCCCCTCTCACAGAGGGTGCGTATCTGATGATTTCAGAGATGTCCCCAGAATAGGATAGAGCCAGCTAATGGTGCTGATAGGTTGAAAGACCTCAGAAACAGAACTACTCTAGGAAACCTGAACCATTGAATTGAACTTTTGATCCCCCTAAAGCAAGCTCACCACTCAACCGACTGGAATTCCCTTCAACTGATTGGTGCACCTGGATTTTCGTCCATGACGACACCCCTGTTTTTCGCAGAATAAGCCCCCCCAAACTCATTATCTCGGAGTTACAGTCAAACCCCAATCTCGTTGACCATTCTGTTTGGGGGTTAACATTCAGAAACCTCACAGCGACAGTTATTGATGGGGATGATGTTAGCAAAATTATGTGACTTGACTTGAAATGATATGGAAGCTGGGAAGCTGCGTTTGTTATATACCTACAAACACTGGGAAAACAATACATATATAAATATATACATATGTGTTCTCCGACAGGGGTTGCATACATGAAGCCTGGATGACCGGAGTTTCAAGCTCAAGTTTTGGGCCACCCTCAGCTCTGGGCCTCTTCGTGAGGTGAGAGCAGGGGAGTGGCCTGAGACAACGGTTTGAGATACCCCTTCCTGGGCAGCCAGACCTCGTTGTGGGGGAGGCTGACCAGGGGGGGGGAGGGTTAAAGGTCAGACCCCCTCGTGGGGTAGGCCTGATCGGTAGGTTTTTGAGGTGGACCAGGCCCCCGTTTGGGGTAGGTTCACGCAGGACCCAAAACCAGGGTTCTTTGAAAGCCTCTTTAGGGAGGGAGGTCTGAGCCTCTAACCCTTTGGGCTTGAGCCCGAGGACCCTGAGGCAATGGAGGAGGAAAAGAGGAAGCTCCTGAGAAAAGGTGGAACAATGAGTGATTGGCATCAGGCGCTATCGGTTGGCCTTCAAGGAGGAGACATCATGTGGACGGACGCCAAGGTGTACCCCGGAGATGTCCTTGAACATGCCCGATCGATGATGATCAAAGGAGGGTATGTGGAGTATGAATGCTATGATGATAGAGGGCGCAGTCAGGGCCGTGCCATCATTGAGTTGGTGGAGTGGGAAGATATGGCCAGAGGCCTTTTCCTGGCTGTGCACCTTGTGGCATCGGATGAGTACTATGAGTACTATGCCCAGAACCGCCTGAATGATGGGAAAGGTGTGTACCATATATGTGGTGATGAGAGGCGCGGTTGTGCCGTCAGGCTGGGAAGACAAGATCGGCGAGAGCTGGTGCACCTGGAGAAGTGGAGGCTGATGAGCCCGGTGCTGATGATGGAGAGCCCCTATAGCAGGGAACTTGGACTGAAGCTGGTTCAAAAGTGGGTTGAAAACTTTACACCTGCAGTCGCGGTGCCGGAGCCAGACTTGCCTCCTGCCCCCAGGCTCCCTGGTGGGGCGGGGGGCGGTGGGCAGACAGGCTTGGACAAAGCAGCAGCTGAGGCCCTCAAGGAGCTGACCAAGGATGATCAACCTTTAGAAGAGGGTGAAGACAAGGCAAAGGGTCAGCGCAAGGAAGGGACTCCAAGAGGGTCTGTTGGGGCGTTGTTGCAACGCAGGGCAGCTGAAGCCCGTGACTTCCAGCGTGAAAAGGAGAAGGAGAGAAAGAATAGGAGGACGCGTCGGAGGAGCAGAAGCAGAGGCCGCAGACGAGAGAAAGTCCGGAGTCCCTCAAAAGGTAAAAGCCGCAGTGAGGGGTCCGGAACCAGTGAGACGTCGCAGGGTTTTCAAAAGCCCTCTTCCCGGGGGGAGGAAGAGCTTTGGCGGCTGTCTCAAAAACACCCCGGGAAGCTACTGAAGGAGACGATGCGGGAGTTAACCCGATACTTGGCAGAGAGGAGCACCGAGGGCCCGGAGGAGGAAGATTGGGCAAGTCGCCGAGTCATGGCGTACATCAATCAAGTGGTGCTAGTGCAGCACCCTCCCGCGGTGATAGGGATCCGCAACTACAGGGAGCTCATAACGATTGGGACGGGAGTGGACTTACTACTCCAAGGTCGGCTCCCGGAGCTGGGGGATCTACTCTCCCAGCGCCTGAAGGCGCTCGAGACGAGCTTCACCGAGCAAGGATGGCACACAGCAAAACATCAGGAGCTGATCCCACCGATGGCCGCCTCCCTGACGTCGGAAGCAGAGAGGAGGAGAGCAGCAAAGCTGGAACTGAGTGCCAGCAAGCTGAAGGAGATGGTTCAGAAGAACAAGTCTCCCAAATAGGGACTCGGCGGCGGCATTCGGGAAAAGAAGAGTGCCGTGACGCCACCCCCTCGAGACGAAGCAGGTCCAGAAGGAGGAGGAGAGACCAGGAGGGTGACCATCAACGAGAACCCTCGGACCATACAAGAAAAAGGAGGAGGAAAAGGAGACACAAAAGGATGGTTGAAGAGAGGGAAGCCCCTGAGGCCATGGAAACAGAAAGGACGCCAGAAAGGAAAAGGTCCGAATCAGAAGGGGCAAGGAAGAGGAAAGGGCCCGGAGCAGAAGACGGACAGAACGAGGAGCCCGACGCCGAGACCGACTGGGAACAAGAGTCCCCCCAGTCCGCTCAAGTAGAGGAAGGAGGGGAGCACCTGTTAGGAGTGCTCAAGAGTTGGCTCCAGTCGGAAGAGTGTGGGGGGCTGAGCATCTCCCAGTGCGGGGCTTTGCTGGCTGTGGCAGCCTTTAGAAGCGGAACACCCCTTGGAAGCTATTTGAGTCGTGCCCTAGTGCCGGGGTCTTCAAGTGGCCAAAGGAACAGGAGGCAGCGGAGCCTCCTACCCCTGCCACTCTGGGATGACTCTGTGACTGAGCTTAAGAAACTGCAGGAAGAGGGTGAGTTCCGAAGGCTGGCAGGCAGCTGGGCTGAAAAGAAAATGAGCAAAGACAAAGCTGGGAGGCTCAGTCGAAAAGTTGGGCTGCTGGTATGGCATGGGCTGACAGTGACGGTCCTGAACTTTCTTTGGACTGGAGGTGGAGGAAAAGGAGAGGTAGGCGCGGGCCCCCCCGGAAAAGCTCAGAGCCAGGCGTTGGATAGGATCTGGGAGTTAGTGAAAGTCTTCGTGGATGACAACTCGGAGTCAACCAGCAAAGTACCCAGGTCACCCGAAATGGGAGAGTGGGGAAAGAAGCTGGGGGACGTTCGGGTGTCATACCATGGGGAAGTGGTCGAGAAAGCCCAGCGGCTGACCCTTGATCAGATCCTGCCAGGGCTTCCCCCGATGGGGTATGGCGCCAGTGTGGCGCTCGCCGAGCTTTGTGAGGGAGAAGTCAGGGAGAAGCTTGAGAATCCCCTGAGTACCCTGCTGCCTGAGGATGAGCTGCCTGATGACGTTCCTGCCCCAAAGGTTCATGCGAGCCAAGAGCAATGGGAAAAGATAGCAGGCGAGCTTTATCGACGAGGTTTGGTGCAGCCCGTCGAGGACCCAGTGAAGGTCAAGGGGCAGGGCCTGATGACGTTCCTGCCCCAAAGGTTCATGCGAGCCAAGAGCAATGGGAAAAGATAGCAGGCGAGCTTTATCGACGAGGTTTGGTGCAGCCCGTCGAGGACCCAGTGAAGGTCAAGGGGCAGGCCATCTTGAACGGGGCTTTCGGTGTTCCCAAGCCGGGAAAATTCCTTGAGGACGAAAGGGCAATCCTTCGACTCATTATGGACTTCCGTGCAGTCAACTCAGTGACGGAGATTGTGGCTGGGGACGTCCGAAGCTTGGCCGGAGCCCCCTCCCTTCAACATGTGGTGTTACCAGCGGGGAAGGTGATCCGGATGTCAGCTGACGACCTTGTGGCAGCTTTCTATCTGCTCCGACTTCCAGCTGAGTGGAGCCGGCTGATGTGCTTTGCCAGCAAGGTGGGCTGGAGATGCTTGGGGATTGACCGAGATGGAGCAGTTTATGTGGGGGCCACCGTGCTGCCGATGGGATGGTCGAGTGCGGTAGGCATCCTACAGCATGCTCACCGTCGATTGGCGCTACGATCGCCGTTGGCAGGCGGTGGTGGACTGCTGGGACCTACTGAGATCCGGCGTGACTCCATCTTCCCGGACCTGGAGCTGGAAGAGGTGATGTGGTCACTGTACATTGATGATGTGAACATCATGGAAGTGATGGACGCCAAGATAGCCAAGGAAATGGAAGGAAAAAGCAGCGAGGAGCAGGAGCGGCTCCGTCTGGCCTATCAGCATTGGGGAATCCCCATAAGCAAGGAGAAGGCTTTGATCAGGGCGTCCAAGGCCGAGAAGCTGGGAGCTGTGGTTGATGGAGACAGAGGAGATTTGAGATGCTCGACGAAACGAGCTTTGGACAGCCTGTCTCTAGGCTTTTGGCTGTTGAGGCAGCCCCAAGTGCCGAGGAAGGCATTGCAAGTCTTCTTGGGCAGGGAGGTCCACTCGCTCCAGTTCAGGAGACCTCTTTTTGGAATTTTTGATTACCTCTGGAAGGAGGTAGGTGATGGGGCGCCCATGCTTGAGCTGGGTGTCAAGTCGGTGGAGGAAGTGCTCCTGGCAGGCATGAGTCAGGCCCTGAGGGTGACTGACTTGCGTGCTGGGTTGAATGAGGTGGTTACGGCCTCTGATGCAAGTGAGCATGGAGGAGGAATGGTCTACGGTGCGCGACTGACCTCTCAAGGGCTGAAGGAGGTTTATACCACGGAAGAGGGGCTCGAGGAAGTCCCGAGTGTGGATTTGAGTTTTGATGAGAAGCAGGTGATCCTGGTCTTCGATTTCTTTGCAGGAATCGGAGGACTATCAAGAGCCTTGCAGCTGGCAAAGGTTCCAGTCAACCGCTTGGTGGTGGTAGAACAAAGCCCTGAATGCAGGCGTCTGAACCTGACGAGGTGGCCAGGTTGCGACATCGTGGTGGATATAGAGAAACTGACCCGAAAAGACATCGGGCGTATGATGCACAGTGTCCCTGGCATCACTGGTGTGATCGCTGGAGGAGGGTCACCGTGCCAAGGACTGTCGAAACTATCAGTCCACCGACAGCACTTGGAGGACCCAAGGTCAAAACTGTTTTATAAGTTCGCGGAGGTCTTGGGATGGATCGGCGAGACTGCAGCATCCATGGAGATCTGGCTCTTGGGGATGTTGGAAAATGTGGTAGGTGATGAGGAGGACATCACTGAGATGAGTCGAGTTCTTGAGGCCAGACCCATCAAGGTTTGCTCCAGTGGCCTGTCGTGGGTAAGGAGGCCGCGGCTGTATTGGGCCAGCGCTGAACTGGAGGATCACCCATCTTTCACCCGCGGGCACCATGAGCTGTATGAGGAAGTGGTTTTTGAAGAAGGGCCTGAACCGCTGGAACATGTGCCTGATGAGGGATGGAAATGGCTGGCGGCAGTGGAGAATGAAGAGGCGCGACTGCCGACCTTCACCAGAGCCATCCCCCGACCCAAAGGGAGGCCACCGCCGTCTCCGGCCGGAATTGCCTCGTGCGATGGGCCGACAATTGAACGGTGGAAGGCTGACCGGATGAAGTACCCCCCGTACACCTACAAGGAGGAGTATCTCTTCCAACATGAAGGGACCAAGGAGGTTAGAGTGGCGTCGGTGAACGAGAGAGAGCGCCTCATGGGGTACCCCACTGGGTACACGCTGGGGATGTTCAAGAAGGAGGCCAAGGATGAGCGAGAAGCGGATCAACAGGTCGTAGCTCGTGAGGCGGCGTTGGGAAACAGCTTCCATGCAGTGACAGTGGCCTGCCTGATCGATCTTTGGTTGTGGTCACTTCAGGTGCGAACTGATCCCCTGACCCCAGAGGTGATCTTGAAGGACTGGCATGAGTCCATGGGAGTCACCGAGATCAAAGAGTATGGGGAGCTGGATGTTGAGGGGTCGCAGGCGATGCCGCTGAGTGAGGCAGATGAGGAGAGCCTCCACGAGGAATTTGAGAAGCGGTCGCCTCGTCGAGCGAAATGGCTCCGCCTGGCGGGTCACAGTACCCGTGGGCGGGCAAAAGCCCAGACCCTCAATGTCCGGCTGATCCATCAGTACCTGCGCCGGATGGAATTCCGAGGATCGGATGTGCGGCTCGACCTGCAGGTCGTTTACAGGCCTGATGCTGTCCTAAGGACTTCGGTGAGCCCAAACAGATGGATCTGGAAGGTGGGCCAGGCCTACAAGTGGCAGAGAGCGGAGCACATCAACTTGCTGGAGTTGAGGGCAATTTTGAGAACGCTCCAGTGGCGAGCCCGCTCTGCCGCCTTCCATAGCTGCAGGTTCCTGCACCTGTCGGACAGTCAGATATGCCTGGCAGTGCTGACAAAAGGAAGGAGTTCGTCGAGGAAGATCAACAGGATCTTGAGAAAAATTGCTGCTCTGTGCGTCGCTCTGAACCTCTATCCTTTGTGGGCCTGGATTGCAAGCCGGCTGAACCCGGCTGATGGACCCAGTCGAAAGTATGCCCCCAAAGATTAAGCAGATGAACACAAAGGAGGAGAGGCGCACGGAGCGGCAGAAAATTGGAAAACTAACAGAGCAGCAGGTTTCACAAAGTACCAAAGGAAGGTACCAAGAAGCACTTAAGGATTTAGAAAGTTTCACAAAGATTCCCTTGAGTGAACTCCTTCACCGCAGTGGAGTCGATGAGGTTTTGGCCTCCTACGTTGAGATGCTGTGGGAGGATGGAGAGCCCAAGGTGAAGGCCAATTACACCCTTGCGGGGATTCAGTTTCACAGGCCGTCGCTGAAGGGGCAACTGAGACAGTCCTGGCGCCTCCTTTCACTGTGGAACAAATTGGAGGAACCACGGCGAGCGACGCCCCTTTCCCCATCACTTTTGCTCTCCTTTGCGGGGGTACTGCTACAATGGCAGTGGTCTCGGTTGGCCTGCTTGTGCACCGTGGGCTATGCTGGACTCCTTCGCACGGGGGAGATGTTCCTTTTGCAGAGGCAGCATGTGATATTGCCTCGTACGCCCGACCAGAGCGCCGTCCTTTTTCTGGTCAACACGAAGACGACGCAACGAAACCTTCTTCAATCCGAGAAGGTACTAATTAAGGAAAAGATTGCAATTGAAAGCCTGCGCTATTTGTGTGCAGGTCTTCGTAAGGAGGACTTTTTGGTGACCACATCCGCTGCCAAGTTCCGATCAGTTTGGAAGGATGTGGTGCAGCACCTGGGCTTGCAGGATTTCAACTACCTGCCCTACAGCATCCGGAGAGGAGCAGCTACTGCAGCCTATAATGAGGGTACAACTTTTGATGAGTTGCTTGAGAGAGGACGTTGGCGGCACATTGCAACAGCGCGCCTTTACCTCGATCAAGCTTTGCAAGAGTATGCCTGCATCAACCTTCCGGTACCGAAGCTACCATTGATTCGCGCTGCCCAACGAAGATTTGTGGCAGCCGAGTTAGGGAAGCGTGGAAAGGAAGGTTGATGGTAGGATTTTTCCTTGTTTAGCCCCATCCTGAAGTACAGCTTTCTTGGGATGTGGGGCGATGCCTTTTTACATTCAGACGGCACTTGACCCTGGCACAAAAGTTGTGCGCGTCTGAGAGTCAAGTAGGTCGGGAAGGCTGTAGTGTATATACATACATAGTTTCCTGTGAAGTGAAGCTTCCTTGAAAGCCACCCATCTAAGACCGCGATATTTTGGAGGATACAGGCTACATCATGCGACATTCCCGTTTTGAGCAGCGCGGCTTCCCCATGAGACATTCGTTGGCGAGGTCTGCTCTCGTCGAGCTCAAGCAACGCTTCTCCTCCATGGGTTTTGGCCGCCTGGCATGGTCAAGGGAAGATCATGTGGAACATAGGCTGGTTGGTGGTTTGGAACATGGCCTTTATGACTTTCCATATATTGGGAAGTTCATCATCCCAACTGACGAACTCATATTTTGCAGAGGGGTTGAAACCACCACCCAGTATGGGTCACACAGTGTTGATGTACTTATGTAACTATGACGAAGGATATATTTAAAGTGGGTCACAGTTTTTCGACCAAAATAACGCAGATGGCTTCCCACCAAAGGGGAGCAAGTTCTGCTGTGGTTCCCTGGGTTTTCCCTGCGGTGCTTTGAAGATTTCCGAGCCGTTGGATGGTTGCAATGAACACAAGCCAGTTACACGTGACAAATCAAACCCGGCAACTGGATGAAGGGAAAACCCTACGGGAAAAACCTCATATTTCCATATGGTCCCATTTTTATTATATCCATTCATATGATTTCAGGTGACTATGAACTTCAGGCTGTGTTGCTTGGAAGCAGCGAAGCAGCTAGAGCTGCCGGGGGTAGAGCTGCTCTTCAGCTGCCGGGGTACACATGTGGTGTCAGGGTATTGGAAGGGCAAAGAGTGATGGCATTGAAAGGCTTCCGAGGCACCCATGATGATGATGATGATGATGATGATTATGATGATCCACCACCTTTGAATTTTCCGCAACGAGTTTTGAGGTTCAGTTGGGTAAAAGATTTGGCGCCCTTGGTGATCCATGTCCATTTGGACAAGTGCCTCAGCCGTACCACCGGTGTGGGGAGGATGGAGCTTGGCAGTGGGATGAGTGTCCCAACGCCAGCAACTGGTTGATATACATTCGAATTTAAATCTGGAGCTCCTGGTATATGATGACATCCCAGAGTCGCATCATTTTTTTTTGGGAGGTTGCAGGTTCAATGTCATTTTTTCTGTTGAGGTCTATTCAGTAGACAGACAATCCTGCTAGTTGGTTGCTCCAAGCTGACAATTACGTCTCGTGGGCATCCTAGATTCGAATTAAGAAGTACTGAAATTCATAGTCTCTTTGACCAACAAGCATTCTTTATATGCTCACTGACAATCAAGGCCAGTTGGCATAGCCAGCTGGTATGAAACGGGGCGATCAGCTGTGATGCTGATTCCATTAAAGACACCACTGACCTTTGAAATTTTCGGCAGACCAACCTTGAAACAGTCTTCATCTTGGATATGATGTAAAGAATGAACCCATTGACAAGACAAACCATGAATAAACTTTAAACCTTGGATTTATAATGGGCCCATTGAAGAGCATGGATTCACCATAATAAGCCCATTTTTTCAATAAGCCCATTGCCCCATTTACAGAAAACAATCCTCTGCCAGTATGGGTCAATTCTTGGAGACGGACGAGTTCTATCGCAATCAGTTTGAGACCAAGACCAGCTGTGGAGCATTGGACCCCGAGAACGAGACCAGGACCGAGCTGCCGAGCTCTTCAACGGAGGGAGCAGCCACTTGGGGGTGCCAGGGGTCAAACATGCTATAAAACATGGTATAGAAATGATATAAACATTGCATAAAAAAATGGTAAATCACATGATAAGCATGGTCGCAGCATGGTAGATTAATGATAACAATTGGTCGCAGCATGGTAGATTAATGATAAGAATTGGTAAGAAGGCCCCATTGCCAAGAGTTGAAAGATAAGCATAAATAACCCAAAAATTATGGACATATAGCCACCCAAATTAAGTGGAACAGGTTTCTCACAGACACCACTTGAGGAGTAGTTTTCCTAGAACGAGCTTGTGATTATTGAGGTTGGAAACTTGAACTACACACACACATATATATATATATACACATACATCTATACATGTAAGTGCACATACATATATATATATATATATATTTTCAGTCATGAAAGAAAACCATATGATCTGGTTCTTGCTTTGCGGATGGAACCATCCAGGACCGGATGGGAGCGAACCTTGTTCGGTGACTCCTACGAAGACGCCAAGCCCTTTGATCGCTGCAAGTATGGCGCCCTGAACGTCACCAACGACTACAGAGGCGCTGGGAGGGACCAGGTATGACCAGGTGAGCTCGGTCGATGCGATGAAAACCTCGCCCTGCAGGTGTTACGTCTGCCATGCAGTACGGTGATTCCTACTTGGTCCTGAAAGACGTGAGGCTGGGTCGACAGCCAAGGACTCGTTATCTCGTTATCTCCTGATCTGATGATCAGATTTGGGCATGGATAAAAACCTATTTTACATTTTTATACCATAGTTTTTGGGTGATGAAAATCCATCTACTTTAAGGTGTTCACTAGGAGTGCAGGGTTTGGACAAATACACAGCCGTTTGTGATCATGGCATCAACAACGGGGACCATGACGATTACGATGATGATGGACACTGACAATGATGATGACCATGATGATCATCACACCTCATTCATCTACAGAAGAAGTGAGCTCCCCCCAAAACTCACTGAATGCAAGACCTCTTGCTGCAGCAGACAAGAGTAGCTGCTATTCAACATGGTCCCCTGTCTGGGAACAACTAAGCCTTGTGACATGGCTAGTCATTGTTGGTTGCACTGTAATTGTTGGTTGCTATTTGAGGTTGCTTTACAGTCCCTCAAAAAAGAACAGAAAATGCATCTCTCCAGTCTCTAGATTGTGGAGAAAAGATTGTACAGTCGCAGCAATTCATCCCATTCCCCACATATCAATCCATATTATTCAATACTTTCCCCCTGATGGGCCCTGATGAAATCGATCAGCCTTCAGTTCCAGGCTCCGTGCCACCTTCTGCGCAACGGATTCAGGTGAGGCCCGGATAGTTTTCTGTTAACGTTTGGGTTGAGTAGGTGGATAAAAACTATAGTAACTATAGTATAACTATAGTATAAATATAACTATAGTATTCATGGGGTTATAAAGCATCATAGAGTTCGGGAGCCTCACCTTGATGGGGCTCTACTTGTTGACTTCTATGGTGGCATGCAGGCGGCATTGAAGGTTCTCGCCTGGGTGTTTGCGATCGCTACGCTCACGTCTTGCAGGACGTTTTTTGGGACGGGTGGACAGGTGGATGTCGCTGGCTCATTCCAGAGGTTTGTTGTCTCCGTTTTTGTCGGTACGCCGCATATATAGTTGATTTTTGTAGGGGAAGCAATGTGCCGAAGTATCACCAAGTTTGAGACAATTCTAAATGGCTATGGCGCAGCCCAGAAATTAAAGTGTCATTGAGGATCCAGGATGGGGGTGATGGGCAGCAGAGTGTGGTCAAAGCTGGAATCATGCCGAGAAATGTGCTTCTCAGAATGTTTGACAGATTCCAGAGAGAGTTTGGAATCTTAACTTTGCCATCAGAACCAGACCCGTTCAGGGGTTTGAATCCTTTTGAATCCTAGTTGACAGCCAAGCCAAACATGCTGAAACGTGGACTTGGGGTCTTGCGTCCTTGGCACAAGATTGGTATTGGTTGTTTCGATTTGTTTCGACATTTTCAAGACCTTCCCCCTATTCATCAACACCCCCTATTCATACCTTGGTTTAGTGCTTGATTTGTTCATCAACAGTAGGCCCCAGATTGTTTGTTTTGAAACAAGTTCTTCTTACATCCATCCCAACACAGGTTTTACAGTAAAGACATGCCAAAATGTGCGGCTCCATTGGTACCCCAATTTTGGCCCATGCCGCAATGCCCAAACGGAAAGATGATTGCCAATGACTGGCCGGCAGGAATACGGCGAGGACGAGCTACAGGCAAGGCAGATAAAAAACCAACCAACATAAGAGTTTAACAGTTTAACCAACCAAAATAAGAATTGAAGCGACAAAAGTCGATAGTTTCATGAAAACCGAAACATAATTCAATCCCCAAAAGGTTGGTTGGATAGCAACACATGACCAAATTTGATATACTGCAGTTTTGATCCATTTTGCACAGAAATTCAATATATATATATATACATAAATATATGTCGCAATTATTTCGCCATGATATCTCATCTGGTGAATTTCAATTGGAGATATCACCCTTCCGAAAGATTTTGCGAGTTTCTCCTCAAATAGACATGCGGATTTTGGTGGTCGGACCATATATTAAATTATGCAATTCAAAGGGCGCTACCCAGTTAAAAATGACAAGGGACATGGTTTTCGAAGATGATTGTCATCTTGGATTTACATCGATTTTAGATTCGAGCTTCCATTTGTTGAGGGCAAATCACGCAAATCTACTGGGTCCAAGTGCCCAGAAAAAACTTGAACCATTCCCACTGACCATTTCCCGGAAGAACAGCCTTTGTTCTAACCCAATATTTTTTGACCAAACTCGAAATTCTTTTGAATCATCCAATGTGCAGTTTCAAGATATTAGAACCATAATTGAAGCCAACGATTCCAAAACCAATACTTAATGAGGTACATCCAGCAAAAATCGATTATCAATTGCAGCCCATGAAGTTGGCTAGACCCCAGTAGCATTTGGATGAGGCTTAACATAAAATGACACTCTTTTATGCTTTGTCACTAGGTTCAGTGGCCAAAAAGCACCTTCCAAAGATTGCCAAAACATTTTTTGTTGACATCTTCATTCATTTTGCCTAAATTCTGGCACTTTCCCCAGATTTTCTGTGAGTTTCCCCAGATTTTCTCAGCTTTTTCTGGCCATTTGTCCTCCGATTTTCCCAGGAGATCATCCGCGTGGCCATGGCCGCGCTGCCGCACGTGGAGTCGGGCGCGCCTTCGGGGAACGTGCCGAAGAGCGCCTGGCCCCAGGTGCTGAGGCGGGCGCAACGGGGGGACCTCCCAGCTGGATGAACCTTCCAGGATTGGTGCCAGGTACCCTGGGTACCTGGCAGATCCTGGTGGTTTGGTTTTCTGGCAGATTGGCCAAAGTGGAGCCCCCTTTTTTTCGATGAAGTTGACGCACAAAGAAAAAACTTGGTTCACTGGGGTTTATGCCATAGTTAAGGAAGTTATATACGTATAACTGGGAAAGCCCGCCTTGTAGTTGTAAATGGGCCCACCAAATGAGGACTTCTTAGTGTTATTACATGTGATGAGCCAGTTACTGAATGAACCTCTAAGTATAGCAGAAGAATAGCTCGTTTTTTTTTGGGAAAATGGTGAGAAACTCGAAGTCTGAAGTAGACCTTTTTTGTGGCCTCTGATAACCCTGGCAAAAGGCCGGATCTCCAGAGTCTACCCCCCCGTTGCCGCCAGGGCTGATTCCGAAGATTGTTCTCAAGAGTGGTGGCCCGGCAAAAGACAGCCATGGATTAATAAATGAGGGGGAGCAGCAAGACAACTGCTGCCTGGTTCCCTGCCAGAAATGGAGGAATACATTTCCTACCGATGGTTGGCCATGGGCACATGTTCAGTATTCTACATGTTCCATGTTGAATGATTGCCAGGGGATCCAGTTTCAGATATCTCACTAAGCTGCCGGAGTCCCTGAGCTTCCACAATTGATCTGCCGTATGTCTCAAACTTGAGAACAATGGCCTAAATCAGAATCTACAGTGGTTGAGCATTTTAGCCAGAGCCACTGGGATTGGAGTTGATTGTGGTGTCGGTCGACTGTGCGTGGTTCATCAACTGTGTGGAGAAATTGCAAGAGGTATCCCAAAATCCCACCAGTTTTTACACCTTTCATGTCTGGGACTGTCGTCTCATGGGTTGACGGTGCTGGCGCCCTGTGTTGAGCCTTTGAGGATCACGGTGGGATATCCCAACTTGGCCAAGCGCAGTACTGGGCGCTACGTCTATGAGGCCGTCCGGGAAAAGAACACCCTGGAACTGTCACGAATAAATGGCACGGTTTCCCCAATTCCATCTAGTTCCCACTGGTTCAACATCCTGACCATTGGGAAACAACTCTGACACGACCGCGTATCTTTTTTTTTTCCAAAGATGCCTGTAAATTGCCACAAAAAGCTCTGAACTAAAAGTTCGTGCATTTCCACTCTGTTGCCAACTGGATGGCCAAACTGATGCCAATGTCATGCTGATGGTCTTTGCCGTGGCTGGGTCAGTTGGCACAGATTGGATAAACAAAATGGTGGCTTCTACTCTGAACCTAGACATTTTATGATATTTTATACTTTCTAGACTCCCGCACTCCCGACTTGGGGAGGATAATTCCAGTCCGCTCATATGCCATGAGTTCATTCCATGCAGTGGAGCTATGGCTGCAGTGTCTGCAGGTGGAATTCTACGAAGATATTGAGACTCCACAAGCCCCTTGGACCACGAAATGGGGGGATGGCAGGGATGGCTGGGATGGCTGGGATGGCAGGGCATCGTTACTGACGATCAGCCATCAAGCCCCAAATGCTATGATGTCCCCGGACAAAGAAATCCTGGGTGAACTATGCGTGCTTTCCCCAGATTTGCTGGTGAAACAAAAAGTACAGCTGGGAAAACTCACTCAGCAAAAAAACCCTTAGTTGATCCCTCTGGTCAACAGTTTGCCATGGAAAATCTGAATTTTAATAGGTCGATCAACTACCAGTATGGCCATGTTCCATAGCTATGGCTATGTTGACCGTCCCAGGTGGGCCTGCTGTCCGAGCTCTTCGAGAAGTGTTTGGGTGTGAAGAGCCCCACAGGTGACAGCGGCAGGGGGAGGTGGTTCCTGCTATCTTTGAATACTAAAACGGTCTAATTAATTTTGGATGTTTTGGGGGTACCATCATTTTAGGAAACCTCCAAATGTGATTCAAGAACCACATTTCCTGGGTTTCTTTCGTGCTGGAATCAATCAAGGGATAGTTAGAAGTCCAAGTCACTTCTGTGACGCTAGAGGGATAGAATCTGAGGATTCTCTGAGTTGGACAATCTCTGCCAGTTTCAGTATCACTGTCATCATTTTCCAAGTGCCCCCCATGGGTTAACAGCCTCAGCCACTTGCCTCACCAGGTGTTGGAGACGACGTTCACGGTTGGTCTTTGGATCCAGAACACGCGGCTCGGCTGGGCCGACCTCAATCGGAAAAGTGGCGAGGGTGCCAACCAGGGCGCTAAGATATCACAGAAATTTCGATGACATGGCCATCTCAATATATTGTATGTTTTTTTTCCCATTTGTTTGGATCGAACGATTTTTCTTCAAGTTGTTTGCCAAGATTCTTGCACCACCAAATAAAGAGCGTGGTGGTCGACTCCCCATCGATGAGAGGCTCTTGTGCTCGCTTGGTTTGCTGGCACCAAGAACCAGGCTTTGTAGCACCCACTCACTTGAATGACTGCTATCCGTGTTTCATCGTGTTTCTGTTCATTTTTGGTTTCTATCAAAGCTCGTCCGATATGTACTGCAGGAAGTATCCTTAAATATCAGGGGTTGGTAACTATCCCATTTTGGGAATATTGGACATCACCGTATAGTAGCCATCTAGTAGACCATATACCTAATGGTTGGGTGATGTTCAATGGGGACATTTAATGACCCATGAATATCCAGCCTTCTTATTTTTCCCCTGTTGTTCCGGCCAAAGACTAAGACACGCTCCAAGCACCGAGGCCGAGTTGTGGTCATCAGGGCAGAGCCGCAGCTGGGAGGACAGTGACAGTGAGGGGATGGTGATTGGATAAATGCCATGGGATTTACCCAACCTGGTTATGAGTTATGACATAGCTATTGAACATGGCCATTTATAGTGAGTTTTCCCATTAAAAAATGTTATTTTCCATAGTTATGTTAGTTTACCAGAGGGTACCCTCTGGTTATGACATTCACAGTTTGCCATGGAAAATTGGCACCATTTTATAGCTAGGTAAACCATCTATTTCGATTAGGGCCATCGCCAAACCATGGCGAACTGTTAGTCATAGCCAGGTTGGGTAACAAAGATGGTGATTTCATGGAAATCCCAGAACTGAGTGGTTTGGGAAAGTCATCTATCAATGGAGGATTTGCCATTGCGATGTTGACCGGAGGGTATGGTTTTTGATATTTCATTATCTCTGGGGCATGATTTATGATAGGGTTTGGCACATGGGTGTTTCTATGTGTTTCTGATAATTGGGGTACCCCAAACCATTGATGTGCCCACTAGAGATAACCAATAGATTCGCTGATTTCAGGGACCCCATGACTTAGGACCCCCCCCTTCATTTCATACGTTGTCACTTAAATCATGTTAACCACCCCATTGATGTTATACACTATATATATATATATAAATATATAATATAATACATATATATATACTGGTTGATTTTGAGGAATAGTAGCACATCCCCTTAATTTTCTCGTCACGTCACCATGTTGGATGGTCAAATCCCTCCTTGTGGCAGCGGTAAGTCAATCCCATTGGGATTTATCGCAGGGCTGCCGTGTGGCTGCCAGCGATGGCAACTCGGCGGTTTAACGCCAGCAGCCCGCTGAAACGTTTGAATATGATATGGCTATGGATCAATACTCATGGTTAATAACCATTAATAGGGGCTAGTCATCCAATGGTTCATAGGGATTTATAATAACCATTATAAGGATCCATACCTATAAAAATACCATTTTTATGGGAATGAACATCCATAAATCCCAGCTATTTTGATGTGAACTACAGGGGTATTATTGGTTTTGACACACTGCCATATAATGATTGATTGGCATCTAACCATAATTTTTTTTGGGCTGAGCATTGGGTCTGACTGGTCTGACTAGATTGTTTGTACATTGTTTAAACTCTTTAAAGATAGTTTGAGCACCAAACTCCATCATCGACTTATTTAGAATGCTTCGGATATCCAGTAGCTCAAAAATCAAGCGTATCTCAGTCAGTAGTTGGTCATATCCCGTATATTGCTTGCAGTGTATCCAATTCACATCTCAATTTCGATGTTTCCCAGTGCACTCGCATTGAGCCAGAAGACCTCAGTTTTTGGATCCAGACGGCCGCTTTTGTATAAAGTGCTTGTGCATCAGGCAGGAGACATATCGCCAAAATCAATGCACATAATATATATATATAATTATATTATATATATCTATATATATATTATATATATATTATATACATACATATATAGCGCTCTCTCTCTATATATATAATTATATATATATATATGTACATAATTGTCTTCGTGCCTCTTACAATGCATAGTTCAACTTCTCCATATTGTATGTGTATATCAATCTATAGAATGAAAAACACACACATATGTATATAATGACAATTGTTATTAATAATAATAGCAAGAATATTGATCCATAGCAATAATGGAAATAATAAAAGAATTAGATTGGTTCCATGCACAATTGGATTGGAGTTGCCCCACTATAGACAAGGTTTCCCTCACGACTTCATAGGTCTTTAATCACATTAGGATTCCCCAAGAACGAGGGGGTGCCTGACCAGTCGGGACGTTTCCTGGCCGCCTATGGCTTTGGTCCATGGGAGCTAGTGCATGCTGCAGGGCCTGGGTGGACAAGCATGTGGAGATCAAGGATGGGCAGGGCAAAATCCTTCGATGCATCAAGCTTGAGTCAAAAAGGCCTGATTTCCTTGCAAATATGACCTTCTGTGCCACTAGGCGCTTGCAGCGCTGCGACCCGGCCAAATGGGCAATGACAAATGTCCAGCTGCTGGAATTTTTCAACTACATGCGATCCACGCCTGAATATGAAGCTGCAAAGCAGGCCCGAGGATATGTTTGCCTCTATGACGTTAACAGCCTTTTCGTGATACCTTGGTCCAGAGGCTTCGGATGTGGTGTGGCGCTCCTTATGAATGCCCGTGCTCCCCTAAAAGCTCAAGTGATGATCTCCCATGCTTGGGCGGAAGACGTAGAGGAGTTAGTCAGCTCTTTGTCCTCTTGGGCATCCAGAATTCAACCGCTCTGGGCTTCCGATCCTGTGCCGCTTTGGTGCTGCACCTTTGCCCAGTATCAGCCAGAGGATGGTGCCGGACCCTCGCTCCAAAAACAGCTGAGTTTGGATCCCTTCAAGAGTGTTATTCAATCCAAGCCCAAGCATGGCATGGTGGTGGTCCACACTACCAAGGCCGATCCTTACGATCGATTGTGGTGTGTGCATGAAATTGAGGAAGCTTTGGACTCGAAGTTGTTTGTCACAGCGATCGGCACCTACTCTCTGGGTGGACGAACTGTATGCACCCGCACTGCGAAGTGTGGGCATCTGGCTGATGAGGAGCGGATTCGAGCGGTCATCGAAAGTAAAGCTGGTGGCTATGAACGTTTGGACAAGGCCATCAAGGCTTTCCGAAACACCTTGTTGAAGAGCGGTACTTCAGTGGTTGCAGAGATTCAAGTACCATTGCACAAGTATAGTGGTGGGACCAACTGCTTGAACTTGGAGGGCCTCGGGCTGGCCAAGGTCTGCTGCGAGCTCTTGGAGTTTGGTGTAGGGTGGTCGGAATTGTTTGGCCTGTTTACCTTGACAGACAGCGATGGCTGCAAGATTCCGTTTGAGCCGTTTGAGGCTTTGGTCGCTGAACGAGCTTCTGAACGAGACATGGAGGAAGAGTTTCCTGTCCCTTGCCTTGTGGAATGCATTCCCTAGTAGTGTCACGGACGTCCTCAATTTGAAGGGGGTAGGGGACTGGAATTGAAAAGAAAGTACTTTGTTTCAAGGGCCCCCCTATCACTTTGAAATTCTTAGCGCAATCCATGGACAACCTTTAATGTACTATGTCCTAAATATATTTTATTCTCCTTCGATTGATGTAATTTGCATTTTTTGTAGAAGAGAAAGTTTTTGTTAACCACGAGTTTTGATTCAAGATTCACAGGAGTGGAAATAGCGTCATAATTGCCTCGACTTCCCCTACTACAATTGACCCCTCATACCCCGGCGTAGATGGCCATGTTGGGTTTTCATTTTGTGTTGGAAAAAAGACCTGATCCGGTTGAGTTCCAACTTCCAGGAAGCCCCACAAGGGGAACAAGACTCCGGGGCTCCCGGGGCTCCTCGCTCGATTCGCATTCCCGACCAGCTGGCGCGGCAGCAGTTTCCGCTCAGGATGACTTGCGCCTTTGATGTGCGCTATCGACAGCGGTTGCCCCAAACTGAAGTTGCGCCAGACAGCTACACCATTGAAACGGTGTTTGCCACTGATGACGTGCAAGAACGGAGATGGAACAACATGAAGCTGCACCATCCGGTGCTTTGTGGACAATGGATGTCAGGCACTCTTGAAGCACGACGGCGGGTCGGAATAGAAATCCTTGACATTCTTGGCGATGCCACTGAGAATGCTGACTTGTTCCGCTTCGATTTTCGCCAACGGAACTTGTCACATTGGAGCGTGTACCTGAGGGGGCCAAAGGGCACACCCTACGACTGTGGTTGGTTTGCAGCTGGGATTGACCTTCCAGATGACTACCCATACCGTCCGCCCAAGTTCAAGATCTTGACCAAAATCCTTCACCCAAATGTTTCAGCGGAAAGTGGAGAGGTGTGCATTAATATATTATTGTCCGAGCACTGGAGCGCCCTCTGTCGAATTTCCAAAGTGGTGCTATCGGTTGTGGCCTTGCTTGGGGCACCGGAACCCAGGGATCCCATGAACCTCGAAGCTGCTACTCGTCAATTGCGCCAGCCAGAGCTCTTTGCAGAAAAGGCACGCCTTTGGACTCAGACGTATGCCTTGCCAGAGCCACCGAGCTTTCGGGACCTGGGCATTGGCACCTTGTCTTCGCTGTGATCCAGACCTACAGCAGGATGCACAGAAAGGAAGGGAATGTGAAAGACATGTAAATCATTCTCCGGAGTTGTATATACGTATGTTACGGATATATAAAGATTTCATTCTGGAATTCCTTTTTGCCAGGGAAACTCCTGGCTCAATAACTTCTCAGAGACGGTCACAAGAACCAAGACGTGCAAAACTGCAGATCAGTTGTTACTTCCTGGCATCTTCCTGGCTGTACGCATGGGCCGCACGGGTATGTTTTCAGTCTCCAGTTCACTGAATGGATCATAGCCACACACACTTTGATTTTCTTATTTGGGGTGAGATGGTATCAGGAGACTACAGAATCTGGGTGGTGTTGTCTTGAACAGATTTCATATTCCATATTCTACCATTTTTATATCTAATGCTATTTGCTGAATTTGAATGATATATAATTCTATTCCACCTATCTTACTCATGGCCTTTTCCGTTTGTCATGTACCAATCGTGTCAGCACGTGGCACGTGGGAACTGCCTTGCTCCACAGGTGGCAAACAATTCGTGGGTGTCGCTGTCGACCTGGCAGAGAAGAAGATCTGGTCCGGGACCAGAAATTCGCCCAGGTTCTATGGGATTTCATGGCTTTATAACAGATGGATATAGTTTTTTTTTTTGTGGATTTTTCGTTATCTGGATATAGTATGATATAGTACTTTTTTTTTTTCCGTTTTTTTTCGTTATCTGTAAGTGGGGCATCTTCTGGGATTCAGATTGATTTCCAATATGGGAATATAGGTACTGACCCAGCATTTACAGGTATGATGGAATATACATGGGATACTGTATGTAACTTATATCACCAACACTATACCAACCAGTTTTGAGTTCCAATATGAGAATGGATCAAACTGTATCAGAAATATCATATTTGGGGAGGAGGAACATCCATAAATCCGAGCTGCTTTGGTGTGAACATAAGTTTATTCCATGGGTTTTGTCCCACAGCCTTATGGGAATTTGTCGATATTTACTATTTGTAGTTATTATGATTGATAAGTCTGACTCATAGTCACTTGATGGATTTATACATATAGTCATATAGTCTATATAGAAATATGACCTGCCCGGGTCATTGTCATTTCTATGGCTATTTCAGGAACCTAAATTGGAGGTACCTACCATATCTAAGGCCTATTTTTTAGGCCTATGTAAGGGAATATACCCACACAATATTGCCAAACATATGGCACAGTACCTCCATTTTCGGATCCTGAAGATCTCCCATTGATCATTGTTTGAGTCGCTGACTTCCGGATGGCTGGGTCGCAAACTTCCTGAGGTTTGGAGTCAATGGCGTGTGGAACGAAACTCCGGCCTTTGTGAACCTTCCGGCGACTTGCAGGGAATTGAGGTACTGAAACCACGATTGATAGTGGTTAATAGTGGTTATAATAGTGACTCATAGTGGTTAATAGTGGTTATAATAATGATGAAATAGGTGTTGGACAAGAACACCACAGGATTTCTGGGAACACATGAAAAAACTCGAATTCAGGGAACCCATCATTTGGAGATCGGAGGAATTCAAACCTTCAGAAGTTGACGCAAGTTTTGTTGCAATTTGTTCCAGGAAGGGATCGCAGTGTATCCGGCGCTGTCCTTCAAGGGCCGGGAAGGGCTGGGATCGGAAGGGCAGAAATCGCTGGCTTTGTTTTCTTCACCCACAGCAAGATGGATCAAACATTTCAACTACTTTCGCGGATTTCCCATGTTTCAAGCGCGGATTTCCCATGTTTGATTACCGGTGAGTACTTGGATTTTCTGTTCCCATAGCCAGTTGAGGTGGTGAGCTTTTTAGGCTGTTAATTGAAAAGGTGGCTGTAAATTGAAAAACACGCTTCATATGGCAAAGGAATATTGCCTACTTGAAGGGATACCACATCAAGATTGCGTTTTTTCAAAACAAATGCTGCATATTTTAGAGGATTCCTGCATAATTTGTAGGGGTATTGTTTGTTGAACAAACCTTGTACTTTCTCAAAGGAAATTTACAACTTAATAAAAATTGTTCTTTACAAGCTGGGGATACTTCCGTGTGCATTCAATACTGCATTTTAGAAAAGGAATGCACTATATTAAATTCATGCTACATATTATAGAAAAATTGCTCCCCTTCAAGGGAAGGCTGTACAAACTTCTTTAAGGGCACCCTGCATCTTTTAGAAAAAAACGTGATATTTTGCAAGGGATAGTGGAAAGGTTCATGCAACTATTTCAAGGATATTAAGGTGCAAATATGTTTCAATATGTTCATTTATGAATTGTGTGTACTTAGGTTTATGATCCTTTGCCTTATTACTCTGATGTATTTACGTACTTAATTGCATTCGATAAGAACAACATAATTCATAAGGAGACTCTTAAACAAGAAATATCAATATGATTTTGCATGGGAATCGCATGGAAGTAGATTATATCCAAGAATTTTTGAATCAAAACCCAACCTTATTGATTGATGGCACTTTTGAGCACATAGTTGGGTGAAAAGTATATGATTAAAAGTGCAACCTGTTCATATCTGGATTAATTTTAATTAGGATTTGCAAACAAAATGCCGTTTATCTAAATTTTCTGCCGCTCACAACAGTCCCCTCCCAAATGAAACCCTAAAGAAACCCTAAATGACACCCTAAAGAAACCCTAAATGAAACCCTAAATGCAACTCTAAAGAAACCCTAAATGAAAAAACCCTAAACCCTAAATGAAAAAAACCCTAAAGAAGCCCTAAAGAAACCCACATGAACGTTTGGAAATCCTGATAAGAAATCCTGATAAGAACCCCTACATAAACCCTAAAGAAACCCTAAATGAAACCCTAAAGAATACCTAAATCAAAAGCTACATGAAACCCTAAATGAAACCCTAAAGAAACCCTACATGAAACCCTAAATGGAACCCTAAATGAAATCCTAATGAAACCCTAAATGAAACCCTAAATGAAACCCTACATGAAAGCCTAAGGAAACTCTCAAGAAACCCACATGAATGTTTGAAGTACCAAAATGTAGCAAATAACATGCAAATGAGAGGTTGAAGTGCCAAAACGTGGCAAATACTGTGCAAAATGGAAGGCGAACATGGCTAAATGTAGCAAATGCCATGCAAAATGCAAAGTAACCATGCCCAAATGTAGCAAATACCATGAAAATGACAGATTCTAGTTCCAAACTGTTGCAAATGCAAGGCAAATGGTACCAGGAAAGAACGCCCAAAAACAATCAAAAACCTGAGCCAAAAAAGAATCCAAAAACTATTCTGAACCCATCTAAAAATTGCTTCCGTGACCTCAGACTGCACAGCGAATTGTTGGGATGCTTGATTGAGAACCGAGGGAGTGATGTAGAGACACTATCATCCCAATCTCCTAGGATGTGAAAGATATGGTGAGGGCAAGCTGAAAAGGAGACAGAATAGACGAAGCAGAAGTATGAGTAGAGATCGATCCTAGTTTTTGAACACTGTATAAATATACACAGTTGCCGCACGGCATACTGGTGTGCGTTCCGAAAAATAGAGACACGCCCTCTCGTGTCCAATGTGCAGGAGAGAGCAACCAAAGACGAACTTCTGTGATGCAACAGAACAATGCAAAGCACATGTATGATGATGTATACAGAATTCACAAGGTCATACACAGACAGCAGCGGGGAAGAATTCAGAATCATTGCGTCATATTATTGCTTAACCATGAAATGCACAAACAAGAACATATTATAAAAAAGCAATAGCAAGCACACAGTTGAACGACCACGTGCTATACATCGACGATGCAACCACCCAAACTGATCACACTGGAGCAAACAAATTGGCTTGCAATCAATAGTCCTGAACACCAAGGAACCGGAGACTCTAAATGCTACAACAGTTCACCTGCTAGTGAACAAACACCACCCCGGTGCAATTTCCAAGACAAAGACCTGATTCCTGAACTACATCAGCAACGAAGATACCTTGAAGATCTAACAACTCACAATAAAGAACATGTCAACGTGACCAACGTCTACCGGGTCTACCGTACTCCCCAGTTCCAACTAGCCCCTGTGAAAACAGGCCGCGGCTCGTTTATCTTTCAAGAACTTCGACATCCACCGCCCAAATCCATGGGACAATTTACCAGTTGGCCGAAGATGCATGGCGAACAGGCAGGCTTTGTGGCGGACAATATTAGCATAATCTGAAGGGCACTTCAATGAACTAATAACAGTTAATAACAGCAACTATGCATCATCATTTCAAGTGACTTCTTTCGTTGTGGTGTTTCAAGTCATATTCTAGTGGCTGTGACGAACGTGCAAGAGGCCCCCTCTTGCACCCCCCTGTCGCCTCTTTTGCTAGGCTTACAAGGGAAACCGTGATTGATATTTCCCTGACAAACGCGTGACAACGATTTCTTTTTGCCTGGGACTTGCGAGCCCATGAGATATAGTCTGGCTTGAAAGCAAGTTACTCATCGTGTTGTTACTATTGCTCATGTTTGATATAGTTGGCATGAAAATGAGTGCGTTTCCAGTGCCAATCATTGCATTTCGGTATCGGGTATCGTTGGAACTTGGCTTCCCAAGCCATGACCGGCCGCCCGGTGTGCTGAGGACGTACCAGGGCAAGTTCCGTATCGATTGTCCACGGGTTGGCAATTCTGACGTTCTCTGCGTCTACAAAGAATTCCAGGTGCCGTAAATTTCTTCTGGACAGGTGTATCCAATTAGCTTCGACTCATAAAAAACGGTCAACAGGCTTTTGTTCTGGCTGATGCCTGACAACAAGGGAACGAGCACGACCAACAAGACTCATGACTATCTGCAGCTCGCAATCATCTCAATCAAAGGCCGTTTCTTCAACCAGATAAAATGTGTTTCTTCCGAACTTCCCACTTTTCAACCTCTGTTTGCGCGTTTCAGAACACCCTCCAAACTGCCAGCGATTTCTCGTTTTTTTTTTTTTCAGGTACACGGGGAGGTCTGCTTGAAGAAACACGTCTCCCGCTTGGTGGCCAACAACAAATATCGCGAGACACCCAAGTTCGAACGCTCCAGGAATGTGGAACTCAGAAACTTGGCGGATGATGATGATGATGATGATGATGATGATGATGATGATGATGGGTGAATTGTTTTTGTTGGGGATTAAACAAACACGGGGACATAAGTTGCCAAAGTTTTCAAATGTATGTCTAGCAATCAATGATTGGTTAGTATACTGGAAGATGAGAAAAACATCATGTTGGGTTTGGGTGAGAGATTTTGGTCGTTGTGTTTAGAAGGAAACCATCCAATTTGGTTTTTGGGATGTCCTTAGCCTCTGCATCCCCACCCCCTTGGCGCACTGGAGGTAAAGGTGGCCCCTACAATGGGACCTACCAGAAGGTGGGGGCTTTCAACAACGCGCCCCTGTACCACTGCGAGGAGATTGGATGGATCTTCTATAACCGCAAGAGTAGCACTTGGCGAATGCGGGCTGACACAGGTACCACCTTTGGTAGGGGATGGATGAAGAGTCGGGCTGTAACTTTCTGTTACTTTCTTATTTTGTGAAAGATCATGGCCAGGTAAGCAACCTTGTTGACAAAGCATTTCTTGTCTTATGTCATCAAAGCATTTCTTGTTATGTCGTTCGAGTTATGAACTGGTATAGAGCTATCATAACAATATTATTTCTATATAGTTACGTCGTTCTGAAATGGATCACAAAAATTCTTGTTTGACAACATATAAGCAATTTGAATCGTCCTGACGGTGATGGACTGAAGATGCACAAAACACCCAGCTTTAATGATGCGTGATCAACCAGGAAACATGTGGTTTTACCTAACGTCAAAACTTCGTCCCTGAATGCGTGAACGTCGGGTACCCTCAAACGGTATGGTTCAACCCTGAAAATCAAAACATTTTAGGCCTCAAACCTTGAATCTGAAATTTTGAAGAGTTTTGACCGTCAAAATGAATGGTTTCAGATCCTCAACATGGCCACTACTTTGATCTGCAGAAGTACCCCAACACCTTCACCGACCTTCACCTCGAGCCAGATGGCAGGCGAGGGCAAATGTGCTGTGGGCAGCTTGGTCACGGCGCAACGCAATGAGAAAACCCACCAGGTGCAGCCGGGCATCGATGCATCGATGCCGGTCGGTGGGAAAATTCTGCCGCTGTCCAGGCTGGAATCATCTCCAAGGTGCTGCCCGGCAACAAGTTCGAAATTTCATGGGCTGATGGCGATGAAACCGACAAGATCCTTGTCCCAAAATTGGAAGGGCATGGGAAATCAATGGTTTCCTGTGAATTTTCCCTTAAACCAATCCATTGATGGTGGGGTGAGGGGTGTGGTTGTCTGCTGCTCATGAACATCAAATGGATATATCTTTTTTTGGATTGATGTAACGGCCAAAAATAAGGGTGTGTAGCCACTGAAAAAATGGACCTAAAGCCAGGTAACTCAAACAGATACATAAAGCATGTTTTTTGACTCAACTGGACAATTGCATGTATCCAACTGAGTGATCACAACTGTTCAGAGCTCCAGAAGCAACCATGTTGATTGCATGCCTTGCACAGGTAGATCATGGTACCTCTGCAAAAATTTGAGAGGACAACCGTTCTGAGACAAATTGAGAACAGATAGATTCTTAGGACTCCCTGCAATCTGCTCCCAACAAGCAGATTATTAATAGCAAGAATTTGGCTAAGTTGGGAACATATGGGGTTTCCACAAGTTTGGCAACCACAAGTTGGAAATAAGTAGTTGGGAAAATAGTCCATATTATTTCCCCCTATGGTGGTTTCCCGCCCAGGATCAAGGCAAGGAGCGATTTGGAGCTCTGCGAGCCTTGGGAATGCAGCTGGTGGATTGTCGTTTTGTTGTGAGACAAACGCTAGTTGGTGGTTTGGAACATGAATTTTACTGTATTTTTCCGTATACTGGGAATAACCATCCCAACTGACGAACTCCATCATTTTTCAGAGGGGTAGGTCAACCACCAGCCAGAACATATTTCACCATATTTTCAGACGGTGCGAACTCCCAAGTTTGAAGTTGCGAGGATGAGTTGCTGAAGAATCTTTTGCAAGAAATGCTCATAAACTACTAAATCGATTTGAATCACATGGAAAACACTTACAAAACCCCGAAAAAAACACGAAAACACTGATTGAAAAGCAATGAACAAGCTGAACAAGCAAACCATTGAAAACACCATTGAAAACAATTGAAAACAACAATGTTTCACCTATTGAAAACACCGTTGAAAACAACGAAAACACGTGAAACACCGAAACACCCAGTGGATCCTCGGAGTCTTTTCATCAGGATGGTGGGGACAACTTCGCGGATGATGGGTGGCTCGGTAAAACCGCTTGGTGAATTCACTGCATGGCTAGGAAATCCCCCAAGAAAACATGGAATCCGAAGCCTGGATTTTTTGGGGAAAGTCATGGGGCGATTGCTGGGGGATTGCTGGTGGAAAGCCATGTGGAGAAGCCAAATGTAGGAAGAGAAGCCCATTGTATTGGGGACTTGCCGACCCATGCTTATGATGCATCCGGGATCATGGCCATTATTCGATGATGCCACGGTTATGCTTTTGTTGGACTATAGTTGAACTCTTAGGATCTCATGCATATTTCGTATATCAACATTCCTCTGGTCATGACATTGCCTGATCTCCATCTAGATTTGGCAAATCCAAAGAAACTGCGCAGTGACTTCACATGGTTTTCACATCCTGGCCATATCTTGCTTCACTTTTGCCGGTTGGATTCCTAATTTGAACCTCAGCTTGCGCTTTTCAAACTGGGCACCTGGGACAGGTTTTAGGCATCAGATTTGGTCCGGAAATGTCACCACCAGTTTCAGGCAAACCCAATGGGAAAACCTTTCCTTCAAAAGTGGTGCCCCAAGGTATTTTACATTTTACTTGCTCTACATTCACCAATCTAACTATAGTTATGGTCACCATAAATCCAACAGTTAAGCTGGCGATAAATCAACTTTGCTACCAAGTTGGGGCACCAAAATCTATTCTGATCCATTCTCCAGTGGCTGACCCCACGTTTTTGATCTTTTTTGACGGTTAAACCTCCAGCAATGGGGGAACTGGCAGGAGCTTCCTCCTGGAGGCACCAGTAGATGAGCTGCTGGGAGACTCTGCGCCACCAGTTGGAGGCCTTGCCAGAAAATCCCAGTGGAAACAGCTGGGTTTAGGGATGAAAACACCCCCTGGAATTGATCCAGGAAAGTAACAATAAACACTACCTATCCAGGCTGCTGGGTTTAGTAAAGTTTAGGGTGTTCGGGAAAACAGATCAACAATTTCAGCACAGCCTGGAATCAGTATTCTCCGGAAGAAAACAGGGACATTTTGCTACCTCCAAGCAGGATGGATGGCGGCGCCCGAGAGCTCGGGCTATGTGCCCCTGGAGGGATTCAAATATGGCATGAAGAAACTGGGTCTCTTGGTGAAAGATGTGAAAACGAAAGGCTGGGAGGCTGACTGATCTGTCTGGTAGTTGTAAACTGGTGGCGATTGAGGTTGCTTTCCAAGGTGTTCAGCGGCGAGGTTTCTGACCCTGGATCTGAGGCTTCGACCTGGAGGGTGCCGAGCTAAAGAAGTGGACGGATCAGCTGCTCTCAAAGACCGGTGCCGGCAAGGAGGTGATCATGCGGAGGCGCCATTGGTTCAGGTGGAAAGTGAAAATTGGGCCCAAGAATGGGGTGGTTTCGCATGGTTTTGCATCCAAAGATCATTGATCGAATTTATATGAATTTATACTGCACATTTCAACATATCCCTGCACATTCGAATTATCCTTTCTGGAATTCCAGCTGCAGGTCAGCTTAGCAGATTTAGATACTTCACACTGTAGATCCAGTGTATTTTACCGCCAGGCCAAGTGTTGATATCTCCTTTGACAAGCTCTTTGAGCAGTCGGGCGGTGGCGAGGACCATGGCCATGGCTGAGTTTTTTTTGGTCTCTGGTTGGTTTTTTCACCATCCAATGCCACAGAATTTTGATGAATTTTGATACGCAGCCCGCAGGATGGCCCTGGGGCTTGGAAAAAGATTGGTGAGGTGGGGGGGTGGCCAAGGTTACCCCCCGTCCATTCACAGGGTACTCATCACTTTTTCCATTAAGGGGCCATTTATTTTGGGTATACCGGTATACGTATACCATACCACATTTCTGGGCAAAACCATGTTTCGTGACTTACTTGAGTACATGTACAACTTGGTGACTTGTTGGTGACGGGCTGACTCTTTTAGCCATCACAAAGGAATAGATGTAATATACCATTGAACATTGACCTTTTAAAAAGCAGCATCTGAGGCTACCAGTAGCCAGGTTAAGGAACATGACATTGCTTGAATATGCTGGAGTCAAGTCCTTCTTTCATATCGGCCAGGTCCCTTTGTTTTGAGCACGGGGCCGATGCACAAAAAAGTTTTAATCAAATACCCTCTGGTAAACGTTAACATAACTATGGAAAATCACCATTTTCAATGGGTAATTATGGATATGTGGGCTGGATCAATCACAGGTGCCTTTTAGATTTTGACCATTTCACTGTTCAAGATCCCATTTGAGGGATGCCCTGCTGAGAACAGCACACCAAAATTTATCTATCCCTGTCTCAGCCTCCAGTATGGGTAATTCCACTATTTCGACTGGGCCATGTTCCAGTTTGCTTTTTGTAGGTTTGCCAGGCCGGGTACCCCAAATCCACTGAAGATCCCAGAGTCCTGGATCCAACCCTCTGCGGAGTTGCCGGACCGGGCTCCTGGACAGCAACTGCCAAGATTGACAAGTCATGTCATACGAAAAATATCTAAAAAGTCATGATATAATTTACTTCTCTATCTTTTTGGTAGGATTTAAAACAACTATGACTATATCTATTTCTTAACCATGGTAAAATCCGGGGCATCCCAGTTTTCAGCCGTCTTTCGTGGTGCCAGGGAGCTTTCCAAGCCTATTTGATGTCCAAAGGCGGGGTTTTTTTCGGGGGATTTTTTCCGGGGTCCCTTGCATTTTCGGACAAAGTGATCTGACTTGGCAGGCAATCACAATTTCCATATAACTATGATCATGAAAGATCATATGGAAATATATGATTATATCATACCAAAACCCTCTGATTATGATCATATATATATATTATATTATTATATATATATATAATATAATTATTGTACATGATATGATCATGGTCAAGAAGGGGAAACAGACGGTTTTGGGCACTGAACACGCTTTTAGCCATCGTAAAGCTCTCCTGCAGATGTTCCCTTCATCGACGTCGCGAGGCTTTACGGAGAATTGCCATCTTCTCCAAACTGAGCATCCATACAGAGCCGAACGACACTCGGTGACGCGGGGTTTACCCAGAAGTGACAAATGCAATAATTCATGTGGTATATCCAATGCAATAAACATCCCGTTTGGGGATTAATGCCCACAAAAATCGTGATGCTTTGGGGATGGTTTATTGTTGTTTTTTTTGCACGGAAAATGATCACAAAGCAATGGATTTCGGAGTTCCCTCAAAAAAATCAGAGAAGACCATATCTTTTCATGTGCTTCACCCTGCCTTCGGTCAGCATTTGGCATTCACTGCGAAAGCATGGCAGAGGACACTCCTGGAGCAAGGATATCTCGATCCCAGAGGCCAAAGGTTGCAAGTGTCCTGGCATGGGAGTGGAACATGACCTGTTTGATGGTCGATGTGGATGACTCCAAGAAACCACTGCTGATGAGCATCACCAAGGCTTATCTTCAGCAAAAAGTGTGAGACCTACGACAGTTGCGCCAAGTTCATGATCAAAACAGGTGCCAACTTGACTAGTTGTGTCCTGGTGTAAGATATTTCTTTTGTTGTGATATCCAAAAACAGACTAATTTCTATAACACGCACGCACACACACATATATATATTATTATATTTAACTAAATCTATCTATACATATACATATACATATATATATAATATATATAATATACATATGTAATATAATATATATATACATACACATGTAGTGTATTCATAATATCACATGGAAATTACAACATCCCAAATGGCTCGTGTTCCATCGCAGGTGGCATCCCCAAATCCACCGTCGGCCCTGGGATGCGCGTGGAGGTGCGATGCGCGTGGTGGACCCCCCTGGATACGTTGATATTAGCTGATTTATAGTTGATAATAGCTGATTTATAGTTAATATTAGCTGATTTATAGTTGATAATAGCTGATTTATAGTTGATAATAGCTGATTTATAGTTAATAATACCTGATTTATAGTTGAGAATAGCTGATTTATAGTTGATAATAGCTGATTTATAGTTGATAATAGCTGATTTATAGTTAATATTAGCTGATTTATAGTTGATAATAGCTGATTTATAGTTGATAATAGCTGATTTATAGTTGATAATAGCTGATTTATAGTTGATAATGGCTGATTTATAGTTGATAATGGCTGATTTATAGTTGATAATAGCTGATTTATAGTTGATAATAGCTGATTTATAGTTGATAATAGCTGATTTATAGTTGATAATAGCTGATTTATAGTTGATTATAGCTGATTTATAGTTGATAATGGCTGATTTATAGTTGATAATGGCTGATTTATAGTTGATAATGGCTGATTTATAGTTGATAATAGCTGATTTATAGTTAATAATAGCTGATTTATAGTTGATAATAGCTGATTTATAGTTGATAATAGCTGATTTATAGTTAATAATAGCTGATTTATAGTTGATAATAGCTGATTTATAGTTGATAATAGCTGATTTATAGTTGATAATAGCTGATTTATAGTTAATATTAGCTGATTTATAGTTGATAATAGCTGATTTATAGTTGATAATAGCTGATTTATAGTTGATAATAGCTGATTTATAGTTGATAATAGCTGATTTATAGTTGATAATAGCTGATTTATAGTTGATCATAGCTGATTTATAGTTGATCATAGCTGATTTAGAGTTGATAATAGCTGATTTATAGTTGATAATAGCTGATTTAGAGTTGATAATAGCTGATTTATAGTTGATAATAGCTGATTTATAGTTGATAATAGCTGATTTATAGTTGATAATGGCTAATTTATAGTTGATAATAGCTGATTTATAGTTGATAATAGCTGATTTATAGTTGATAATAGCTGATTTATAGTTGATAATGGCTGATTTATAGTTGATAATAGCTGATTTATAGTTGATAATGGCTGATTTATAGTTGATAATAGCTGATTTATAGTTGATAATAGCTGATTTATAGTTGATAATAACTGATTTATAGTTAATAATAGCTGATTTATAGTTGATAATAGCTGATTTATAGTTGATAATAGCTGATTTATAGTTGATAATAGCTGATTTATAGTTAATAATAGCTGATTTATAGTTGATAATAGCTGATTTATAGTTGATAATGGCTGATTTATAGTTGATAATAGCTGATTTATAGTTGATAATGGCTGATTTATAGTTGATAATGGCTGATTTATAGTTGATAATGGCTGATTTATAGTTGATAATGGCTGATTTATAGTTGATAATGGCTGATTTATAGTTGATAATGGCTGATTTATAGTTGATAATGGCTGATTTATAGTTGATAATGGCTGATTTATAGTTGATCTAGCTGATTTATGGTTAATAATAGCGATTTACTAGTGATAATAGCGGTTTATATAGTTGATCAGCTGATTTATCTGTGTTATAATAGCTGATTTATAGTTGATTATAGCTGAGTTAAGTTGATCCTGGCTGAGTTTATAGTTGATAAAATAGCTGATTTATAGTTGATAATGTCTGATTTATGGGAGATAATGCTTATTGATAGTTAATATAGCTTATTTATAGTTGGTAATAGCTGATTTATAGTTGGTAATAGCTGATTTATAGTTAATAATAGCTGATTTATAGTTGGTAATAGCTGATTTATAGTTGATAATAGCTGATTTATAGTTGATAATAGATGATTTATAGTTGATAATGGCTGATTTATAGTTGATAATAGCTGATTTATAGTTGATAATAGCTGATTTATAGTTGATAATGGCTGATTTATAGTTGATAATGGCTGATTTATAGTTGATAATAGCTGATTTATAGTTGATAATAGCTGATTTATAGTTGATAATAGCTGATTTATAGTTGATAATAGCTGATTTATAGTTAATAATAGCTGATTTATAGTTGATAATAGCTGATTTATAGTTGATAATAGCTGATTTATAGTTAATAATAGCTGATTTATAGTTGGTAATAGCTGATTTATAGTTGATAATGGCTGATTTATAGTTAATAATAGCTGATTTATAGTTGGTAATAGCTGATTTAT